ATGGATAAAGCTTTTTCATTTAAGGCTAAATCAGTCCAGCTCTCTTGCTTCGGCTCAATCCTATCATTTGGTCAGCCAGTCAGTTGCTTAAATTGGAGTGCATGTACTAGCAGCAGTGTCAGAGGAGCATTTAGTAACGGAAACCAAGAGGACTAGGCATTTTCTCTGGCCTCTCTCCTGCCAGACGTTATGTTCAGTGGTTAGGAGGTGGGCGGTACCATCTAGCAATGGTTAAGCTTTTTGCCTTAATGAGTCAGCTATAGGCTGGGGATTGCAAGCCAAGCCTTTGCCTTTCAGATACACTTCCTCTTAGCTGGAAAGATGATGTCACCATTGTGTGAAAGCTATATTACTTCTCCTTTTATGGAGATGTACAGGCTCAAAATCGGAGTTGCTCATGCAGAGGAAGTGGGTGATAAAGGCCTTTTAGGATGTTCTGTAACTAAGATGCTTAGCGCAAACTGAATGTTCTGTTCTAGCCTTCTAATTTCTCTTCCTCCCTACCCCCAAATCCTCCAAAACAAAACCACCTGAGCTGGGGTTGTAGCCATTTGCCCATTGTACTAGCATATGCAAAAACAGTCCCAGAACTCTCAGTCCATTTGCTATCTCACTGTACAATGTTACATAGAGGATTTTTACATACATCTCTTGTAAAAATCAACTTTTGCTTTCATGATATTTTTGCAAATGCTTTCAGATCCTGGAACCAACCTAAATGCACTCTGATATTTGGGGACTACAGAGGTTAAGAATGGTTAGTTTTTTGCATAGGCAAAAAAAAGTATGTAATAAGTAGTTACAGAGTATTACTGTACACCTTGAATTTGAAGGTTGTATTACTTTCTGCATCCTTGAGATTACTTTTTGTTTGTAAGTACTCTGATACTGTGGTAATAACTAAATAAAGCTTAGATAGAAATATTTCTTTGCCAGCTGGTCTGAAGTACAGAATTGTTGCTGCAATTAGACTAATGGTTTACTTATTAAATATGTAATTCAGAGGCGTGACTCTGTCTGAAAAGCAGATTCTTTTCAATTACTTTTTGTGATTGTCCTGTAGTAAACAATTGAAGTTATTGTACCCAGTATGAGTAACTTGCATGTGCCACCAGTTTTGGAGATGTGGGAGGTGGGCCTCTAAGAAAATGGGTCCCTCTAGTTCTGGCAACTGAAGTTTGACTTTGGCCATGGTTATGCAAGAAAAATCAGAGGGTTGTATGGAATATGTAACATCCTGGAATTTAGAGTAAGTGCCTCTTAAAGTGGAACAACTTCTAAGAGGAGCTGCTTTTGTAGCAGTTTAACAACTCTTTTTGGTCTTCTGCTAGGATCCTACTTCCTGTGGCTCAGCACAGCATTTGAGTAGTCTGTCTGTACACAATTAGAAGAATTCCAGCTATCCCAGTGATGGCTGTTTTGCAGTGCTGGGAAAGAATTTCTTCTTAGATTCCAAACTGGAATGTTTCCTTTTATGGTAGTGTCTGCATACGGCTGTGACTTGCCTGCACTCGCAGGTACATTCCTGATGGCTTAAAGCGGAGGTGACTCACAGCTGCAGCTGGTCATGGGGAAAGCAAATGGGAGGGGGTAACATAGCACTGAAAGGGTCCACTGTTATTGTCTAGGGCTTTTCCTGTATGTTCACCAATTGGTATGTCTAATTTTGTAGTAAGGTGTGAAAAGGAGAAACTCTACTTACCATCCACCTGTGGAAGATATTAATTAGACTGCTGCTGTGTCACCACCTCCCTCCCTCATATGAGATTCTAAAACATTCTTGTAGACCAATGGTTTTCAAACTTCATTGCACCGCAACCCCTTTCTGACAACAAAAATTACTACATGACCCGGGGGAGGAGGGAGAGTCTGAGCCCCGCTGTCCAGAGCTAAAGCACTCAGGCTTCGGCTTCAGCCCCGGGTCCCAGGGAGTCTAATGCTGGTCTTGGAAAACCCCATTAAAATGCGGTCATGGCCCACAGTCTGAGAACCTCTGCTCTAGATAAAGTGTCTGCCAGGGCATTTGATTTGTGTATGTTTGATTCTAGTGTCCATCATCTCTGTTCTATTTGACATGTGGCTTATGTGACTGTTTGCCAGTGTTTTATCATGAAGGATAGGGATGTTACCTTTTTGTCTCAAACATGCTTCCTACATGAGCCCCCGAGTACCCAAATGAGAGTGTAAGCTTTTTCGGCAGATGAGCTGCTCATCACAAGTTTTCAAAAGGCCATAGCTACATATGAATGTGCTGCAAAACCAGCCAGGTGTCTGTCCTACTGAATACAACACCTGGGGCTATGTGCAGATGAATCATTAGTTATTCCCCAATGCACCCTCCAAGTGCCCAGTCATGCAGAATCCTGGCACGTACCTTGGTGATCCATTGACCGACTGGAGACCTTAATGGGTGTGGCCTTCTGAACTGCTTAGAGGTCTGTCCTTATACCTGTCATTCAGCTGTGGATTTCTTAAAGAACTACATTGAACATATCTTAAGTCTTCAGTGACTGAAGAGTCTGCCACTTCATTATAGGTAGTTATACCTATAGTTAAGGTTGCCAGGTGCTTAATTTTTTTTAAGACCCTATTTTCTTTTTTTATTACTTAAGCCATTTAGGCAGAGACTTTCCATGCCCAATGTCTGCCTTGCACTAAATATTTTTGGCAAGTTTCAGTAAAATGGCTCAGTCACTTCTGAGGACAAGATCAGGGGAAAATACATTTTTTGACTAGTTTAAAAAAAAAAAAAACACCCCTCTTGCAACAGTTTCATTAAGAAGCCCTACCACTTCCATGTTTTAAAGCAGGGACCTGAAATTTGTCTGGGGTGATTGTCCTGGTATCTGATGTTCCTTTTGCCTTTGGGTGAATGTTTACAGGAAAGGGCTAGATCCTTGGATGTATAACCAGGAGTAGGAAGGCGATTTTTTCTTTTTAAACCTCTGTATGGCATTGGTGAGACTGGTACTGGAATACTGACTAGAGGGCTGGTATCAAAATTTTTAAAAGGATACTGAAAAACTGGAGAGGGTGCAGTAAAGAGCCACAAACTATTTGAGGGCTGGAGAAAATGCCTTACAGTGACACATAGAACGCAATCTGTTTATCTTACAAAAAGAAAATTGAGAGATGACTTGATTACAGTGTACAAGGGGACAAAATACTAGGTACTGCAGAGCACTTTAGTTTGCTTGAGAAAGGCATAACAAGAACAAATGGCTGGAAGCTGAAGCCAGACAAATTAGAAATAAAGGCACAAATTTAACAGGTTGTTTAAGCATTGGAACATATATCAGGGGAATTTGTGGATTCTCTATTTCTTGATGCCTTCAAATCAAGACTGGATGTCTTTCTGGAAGTTCTAGTCAAAAAGTTATTGGGCTAAATATATGGGTAACAGGGTGAAACAGAATGGCCTGTAATACAAAGGTCAGACTAGATCTAATAATCCCTTCTGCTCTTAACCTCTGTGAACTTGGATTAATTCAGAGCATCTGAAAATCTCAGCACATCATGCTCAGAGACTTGGTTGGCAGCTAAATTCTTGAAGATTCAGTCTGCACAGAGCATACTGCATCCCCATAGCTCCCATGTGAAACCAGACTTCACAGAAGCAGTAATGCTGTCCCCTCAGTAACTGAGCATCTTCCATTCCTGGGCTAGGACTCGCCCTGCAATTGCTACTCCTGGCTACTAGGAGCCACCATAGCACTAGGCTCCAACTGAGCATGGAAACTCTGTCCTGTGCTGTGTCTCCCCCTACTGATGCCTAGCCAGCATGGAGGAGGAAGCTACCTGAATTAGGAACAGGGGAGGGGAAAGTGATTAAATACTGGGGTAGTGGAGGGAAAAAGGCTAGGAGCTGGGGGGAGAGGGGGCAAGATGGGTACAGATAGGAATGGGGGTGGGGGGAGGATAATAGTAAGAAGTGGATATGGGGATAGGAATGGTAGGAACCATGTAAGGGGAGGATAGGACTGGTAGGGATGCAGGGGGAACCTTGAACAGGAGCCAGGGAAGGAAGGTGGAAACTGGGGGTGGGGGAGAGGAAAGGGAAGAGGCTGGGACGTAGGGGTGTTTGTGAAGATAAATTCACTAATGTTTTTAAAAATCTAAGATGTTATGATAGCACCATAGTAAAGCCTAAACACTAATAGTTGTGTATTCAATGCAAGGTTTGGATGGTGTGCAGTAAATCATACATTCTGCCACATATTGAAATGTTAAATAGTTACCCATTCAGTGAGCACCATTCATTCTGCACTGAGTGAGGGTGCGTGTGTGGGGGGGGGGGAGGGAGGATGGTATTTGTTAATGTAATTGAATACTCACAGTGCATATACGCAAGGGATCCAAATTTGGGTTTATGGTCAACCTTAATTCTGGTACTTCCTGTATTTGACCTTACAACCTTAATGTTCTTTTAATGTGGTGGGTTTTTATGTGTAGTAGTACAGTGCCTCAGTCCTGAACTTGCCACATAAGAAATGGCTAAAGCAAAAACCTTGAGCCACTTTTTTTCACTCTAGCATCCCCATCTCCACTAAAGCTGTAGTCAATGCTTAGGCCTCCCTTGCTTTAAAGGATAGGTCAACGTGGCAGGGTTTGAGTTGCATGGAGTATTCTGCATTTGGTAGCAAATAGTTCAGGAGGCACAGGAACAAATCAGGAGGTGGTGGTGGTGGGGGGGGTTTCTATTCACACCCTGGAAAAAGCAAAATAACAATTACCTTGTTTTGTGCTGAACTACAGATACATCTGGACAGGTAAAACTAAAATGATGATGGTGCTATCTTTAGGACTTGGGGAGAGAGGAGGAACTATACCAAGATTTAGAGGTGACTGGTCATACTTCTGAAGACACTTGCATGAGGGCGCTTAGTGGCTTCTGCTCTCCATGTTTTGGGAAGTGCCAGCATACCCTCTGAACTTAATAGCTTTTGTGGTTTAGGCAGAAGTGAGTTTTGGCCTGTCTGATCCTGTTTCTTTTATTTCAGATCGAGAGGATCAGTCCATTCTGTGCACGTGAGTATTTACATTCTTCAGCTTGTCTTGCTGTCAGCTCTTGTTAAAATCCTGCTGGAGGGCTTAATTGGGGGGTTTACTGGAGTCAGTATGTCACATGATACTGTAGAGGCAAGGGAACATTTGCCTGTTTAAATCCTACTATTAGCATCCCTTCCCTGCCCACATCTCCCCTCTTTCTGCACAAGGATTGTCTCCTGCATGAAGGAGCAGGAAATGGGTGATCTTAAGGTGACTCCCTAGTGGAGATGTTACTTTATTGATGCTGGGAAAGGACTTTGGAAGAACTGGAGTAGCAGTGGTGTATATACAGTCAACAATGCAACTAGGAAGGCAATAGCCATGTGCTCTCATTCATGCTATCTAGGTTGAGGTTGTAGGGAATAATGTGCCTACTCAACATTGCAGTTTCCTCTTCTGAGCCTAAAAGTAAGACTGATCCCCCAAACACTGTTAAGTTCTGGTTCTGAAGGAGTTAACTACAGATCTTTTGCTTAGGGGAATTCCTTTTATGGAATTCACTTAATTGCCTTTGTGTCTCCTTCCCCACAACCCCCCACTTCCCCCCCCCCTCCCCCCCCCCCCCCCAAGTCACGAGAAACTGGCTGAGCAATAGGACTAGAGCAGGGTACTGATTGCTCTACTGTTCACTTAATGTGTTCAGGTTCTCTGTTAGGGCAAGTATCTCAAAGCAATGTTTAATAGCAAGAATGCAACTAAAAGCAGTGTGGTCAGCTGAAAAGCATATTGGGTTTAAAAATGTGAATGCATTTCCCCCGTCTTGTTCTTGAATGAATCCCAGACTCTGTCTTTGCAGAGGTGAATCGGGAGCTGGTAAGACAGAGAACACCAAGAAGGTCATTCAGTATTTGGCTCATGTTGCTTCCTCGCACAAGAGTAAAAAAGACCAGGTAAGTGCCTGTGTTCACTACAAGGATGCTGGACTGTCATGCTGAGCACCTACAAGCTATGGTACACTAGGAGATACCTCGGTTAATACTGGCTGAATAAAACACTAGGTACCAACTTGGGCATAGGGGAGTCAGGAGACAATGAACTATGGAGCCATGACAATTTTGTGTAGCTTGAAACACCCCACAAGTCAGGGGCCATTATTCTCTCCCATAATTCCATTGACTTCAGTGGAGATACAGCAGTTTTTCAGAGTGTCTTGGTTTCATAGGTGGGTGTGTTTAGGGGCACAGTTTACAAACCATCACATATTAGTCTTCTGACTCGTTCATATAATTTGTGACCAATCCAAGCTGTGACGGGTTGGATCACAGAAACCCCCTTGGGAGCTGCCACCCGATGTGCCAAGACCACCCCTGCTTCTGTTTTCCCTGCCAGCTCAGGACTCCAGCACCCCGTCTTGCTGAATTAGACACTCCAGTCCACTTCAACACAGACCCAGGGTCTGAATTACTTGTCCCCAAGCTGCAAGTTTACCCAAAAACAGCTCACAGGAGTGTGCTTGTCTTTAGCACTCAGATGCCCAACTCCCAATGGGGTCTAAACCCAGATAAATCCGTTTTACCCTGCATAAAGCTTATGCAGGGTAAACTCATAAATTGTTCGCCCTCTATAACACTGATAGAGAGAGATGCACAGCTGTTTGCTCCCCCAGGTATTAATACATACTCTGAGTAAATTACTAAATAAAAAGTGATTTTATTAAATACAGACAGTAGGATTTAAGTGGTTCAAAGTAGTAACAGACAGAACAAAGTAAGTCACAAGCAAAATAAAATAAAATGCGCAAATCTATGCCTAATCAAACTAAATACAGATAATCTCACCCTCAGAGATGCTTCAGTAAGTTTTTCTCAGACTGGACACCTTCCAGGCCTGGGCACAATTCTTTCCCCTGGTACAGCTTTTGTTCCAGCTTAGGTGTTATCTAGGGGATTCTCCATGATGGCTCCTCTCCTTCCCTCTTCTCTTCCACCCCTTTATATATCTTTTGCATAAGGCGGGAACCCTTTGTCTCTCTGGGTTTCCACCCCCCCCTCACTGGAAAAGCACCAGGTTAAAGATGGATTCCAGTTCAGGTGACATGATCACATGTCACTGCAAGACTTCATTACTCACTTGCCAGCACACACATATACAGGGAGACTCACAGGTAAACAGCCATCTGCAGACAATGGGAGTCATCAAGATTCCAAACCATCATTAATGGCCCACACTTTACATAATTACAATAGGCCCTCAGAGTTACATTTTATATTTCTAGTTTTAGATACAAGAGTGGTACATTTATACAAATTAGATGATCATACTCAGTAGATTATGCACTTTGTAATGATACCTTACAAGAGACCTTTTGCATGAAGCATATCCCAGTTACATTATATCACTTATTACCATATTTTCTCTAAATCTATCCCAGTTACATTATATTGACTTATTATTATATTTTTATAAAACCATGTAGACTGCACAACGTCACACAAGCAACTTAAGTGACCCTGGGGATGTGGTCTCCTTTATTCTACTCCCCTGTATCTTGGGGCTGGTTGTGAAGTCTGTTCTATAAGCACAGTCTCCAATTTGGAGAGGTTCATAGATATGAGCTGAAGACTTGACTGAAACTATAACAGAACTTTTAAATGGGTGAAAAGTATCTAAATACATTAGAACAAGGGTCTTTGCAGTTGTCTTACTAATATTTTTTTCCCCTCCCTCTCCCCTTGATGGATTATGACCGAACTCATCAGTTGTATCCTCTTAGGTGAGCTGCACGTTTACTGCACGTTCTGCACCAGGAATGCATTTTGTCCCTTTGTGTGATTTGAGCACCTTTTCACTTCACACCAGTGTCACTTTCTGCAGCTAGAACAAGTCCCATAGACAACTCACAGTTCTGTTTTTGTCGTGCACAATAACCTTTTGTGAGATGCTGTCAATTAGAGATTGCAGATATGTCAAGTTCACTCATCTAGTCTGCACTCAAGGTCTCTCTTGTAGAACTTCCCAAGTACGCTCTTGAGAAACTGTTCCTGTATAGTGAACTAACCAAGGGGAGTTGAACTGAACCTGGCTTTCCTAGAACTGCATATAGAGCCTCCAGTGTGCATGGTGTTCCTAACCAGATGGAGTTGACTGGCTGTCTAGCCTTCTACCACAGCAAGTTAGCTGTGAGTGCAGTTGCTGGGAAAGGTCAGGAAGCTGCTGCCCTGAGTGTACTGGATGTTCCAACACAATGAGCTTGTTAGCCAGAGTTGCACACATGGGAAATGCAGTTAACTTCTGAGCTTTATAACGAAACCCAGATGCCAAGCACATCTTCAATATCTCTATGTAAAAACCTCCTCTTAGTAACTTAATAGCCATGCTCTGTGTGTGTGTATAGGGTATATGAAAAGGATACGCTCTGCATGCAGATGTGTGTGTATGTATGTGTAAGGACACCTTTCTAATGAGTGGTTTCTGGAATCAAAACAAAAACCTAGCCTTCCATGTGCCAGACACTGAGCTCTACAAAACCTTTTGCCATGGGCTGTCAGTAGCCGTATTTAGAAACAATTTTGTTTTTATATTTTTTTCTTGGCATATGTGTGTTTGGGGGGGGGGGGGGGAGGATCATGGGATTGGGAGTTAAGCATTCTTCTGCTGCTTATTCTCAAGTGAAACTTCAGTCATCTAAGCCGACCAAGGATCTGGTTACGGTATAAACCAGCCTTTAGCTGGGCTTAACACATGACTTCTGAGTTCAAGCTCCATTTGGAAGGTTCTCTTAAGGAATCCTGCAGCTCACTTTGTAACTATGGTGGCTCCATGTTGGTTACCAGCCTTACCAATGAGGATTAGAACTATTCAGGATCCTTAATGTTAGATGGTAATGAGCAGTCTCTGCAGCCCTGCTGACCTTCACACTCCCTAGGCCTGACTCCGGATTCCAACTCAGGTTGTCTACAGATTAGTATAGTAACTTTGAGACATCTGTTCACCTATCACAGGGCTGGGCAAATTTTTTGGCCTGAGGGCCACATCTGGGTATGGAAATTATATGGGAGGCCATGAATGCTCATGAAATTGGGGTTGGGGTGCAGGAGGGGGTGAGGGCTTTGGCTGGGGGGGGACGGGCTCTGGGGGGGGGCAGAAATGCAGAGTTCAGGGTGTGGGAGGAGGCTCCAGGCTGATGCAGGGGGTTGGGGTGAGGCTCTGGCTGGGGGTGTAGGCTTTGGGGTGGGGCTGGGGATGAGGGGCTTGGAGGGTGGGAGGGGGATTAGGGCTGGGGCAGGGGGTTGGGGCGCAGGATGGGCTCAGGGATGCAGGCTCCAGGCAGTGCTTACCTGAAGCGATGGCATGTGCCTCCTCCGGCTCCTGTGCGGCCAGGTGCCTCTGTGCGCTGCCCCGGCTGCTGGGGCCACCCCATCTTCTGTGGCTGCCCCTGCAGGTCCCAGTGGCTACAGTTCCCAGCCAATGGGAGCTGCAGGGGCGGCGCTTGGACTGGGGGAAGTGCACGGAGCCCCCTGGCTGCCCCTAAACGTAAGAGCCGGGGGGGGGGGGGGGGGCGGACGTGCTGCTGCTTCCGGGAGCTGCGCAGTGCAGCGGCACGCGTGTGCCGAGTGGCCCCTTGCCCTGCTTCCCGGCTGGTGCGCCGGAGCGGGGCAAGCCCCAGACTCCACTCCCCAGTGGGAGCTCGAGGGCTGGATTAAATTGACTGGTGGGCCGGATGTGGCCCACGGGCCGTAGTTTGCCCACCCCGACCTATCACTACCCAAGGGAACAAGTCTGCAAACTCTGCTTGTGCTAACCCCCAAGGCCACTAGATTAGGCCCCGCTGCTGGCACCATTAGATTGAGGATGGAGCATGACTCTTGGTCTCCTGCATTGGCAGTGCAGTACAGTAATGGTGTTACATTTGGTAGCCTAGAGCCTTTTGCATTTCTGATATCTTTTGGTCAAGAGATTAAATTTACAACTCAAGTCTCTGCTTTCCTACTTTTTCAAACAAAAACAGGTTTTCTAAAGCCCTTCTCTCCGCTGCAGTGGGGGGTGGGGAGGGGGACACCCCTTCCACTGATTTTTGTTGACTTGCAAGGATTCTGAAGCAATGATTAATGTTTTAGGTGATTTTTTTCCCCAAAAAATAATTCACTGCATTTATGGTGGTAAGTACTACTAGGCAAGGTGAGGCTGCATTTAGGGCATACAGCATTCCATTAAAATCTGTTTTCACTTAATCAAATTGTGTATTGGGGAATGGGGCAGGTGAGTTGTGGTTGAAGCTTTCCATGTTTGCTGTCTACCTCACTTCACCTGTCTCGAATCATAGGAGAGTAGAGTACTATTTTCAAAACTAAAATTATAACTTTTTGCAATCAGAAATGCAAATGCCATGTTGCAACTCTGGCAGTTTCTATTGTGAGTGATGTGGTGCCTGGTGCTGTTTTCTTAAAGTTCCAGCTGCTGGAATTATGTTTCTTGAAAATCTCTCTTATTTTTAAAGGAAGTTTGTAGCTCTCATGGCTGTAGAGAAAAGCTTGCAATCGTGAACCATAAAGGCTCAAAAACCAGAAAGAAAGTAAAAAGAAACCAAAACTTATTTTTTAAATTGAATGATTTTAAGTTAATCTCCTGATCTTTGGGGGCTTGCCTCATGATTTTTATTTTTAAACATGGAACTGGCAAGGTTGCTATTTTTGGCATATGGCTCCTCCTTTGGAAAGAATCTTTTAGACGTTGGGAGTATATGAGGAGGAATTCTGAGTTTTCAGTGGGCATCAAAGACGTTGGTAACTTAAACTAATATGAAATCATGGAGAGAGGGGGTGCTAAGGGCCCAGCTGCACATTCCCACTGTGGGCTAGCAGACCTAGAAGCTGGTACTGCAACAGTTTGCATGGGAGGGAGGGGGATGTTGTATCCATCTCAAATGCATACAGAATCTTTTTTAAAATTGTTTAAAAATCGGCTCAGGACCTGCAACTACAGGTACAGAAAGGTTGGCAATTTACAGGATCTCAGCAGTCTTAATTACAGGATCTCAGCAGTTCCTGCTGAATTCTGCGAATTGTAAGGTTTTGTAGCTTAAAAAAAGTTTTTCCTGTTGGAAAGATAGTCCTCAGCATGCTGCTGCTTCTACCTTGCTAATGAGCCATGCAAAAACAGTCTTCAGTCAAACGATGGCTGCAGAGGTGTGAATGCTGCTTCCTCCTATGAGGTATGACCTGAAACCCTACATGGGCTACTTAAATACCAACATCAAAAGCACACTTTTTTTTTTCCTGCTTAAAACTAACACTAAGGCAATGTTCAAGTTACATGTTTATACATCAGTGAGGAAAGGAGCTAATGCTTTCGTGGTAACATTAACCTTTTAATCAGATGCAGCATTATAGTAGCATACTGAGAATTTGCTTCTGCAAAGGATTTGGTATTCCTGCTGCATTGCAACACTCTACCAAGCTGGTTCCCATGATTGGTCTCTGATTTGATTAACTTTAGCCTTTCCCTCTTCTCACCCCACGCCCCCCCAGCCCCCACTTACCATTGTGATCTGCTTACAGGCAGCTGACATGCTACATGCCTACTACTACTGTGGGTCTCCTAGATCCCACTATCCTAGCCCTCCCCTTCTCCTTGCTTCTGACTCCACCAACTTCTATGTGTCACTAATTGCACCCTTCATTCCTGAGGTTAAAAAACATGAAGGAATTAACTTGCCCACAATGCACACGTTGCTGTGAGACTCAACTGTCACTTTCCAGTTTTTGTGTAGCTAAATTTGGCCTTGCTGGTTTGATTTTTTTTTTAGCTGAATAATTAAATCTATTTAATGCCAAAGTCTAACTGCTGTTTTCTTCTAAATAGTCTTTTGATCTTTTCCCTTGGTCCTGCAGTGAAGTTGTAATGTTGAATTTGTGACATCACTCATTTCCATAGTAACAGATTGCAGTCATAAACAGGATTAGGACTTCACTGCAGGATCACTCAGACAGGATGGAAACTGTTGGAGAGTAGGCGTGGGTGTTGCAGCTCACACGTGTGTCAGAATAACAGGAGAATTGCAAAATTACTGACAGACTTTTTATAGCAAGTTTTGAGGTTTTCTTCTTAGCACAGCCAAGTGTGACCTTATGGGATGGATGGCTGCTGTCCCAGCCTATTCCTTCCTGTAACTAAACATCTTATATGCACTTGTGACAAAGTGCATAAAAACTTAATTGTGGCTGTCTCTTCTGTGTGTAACTCTGCAGACTAATAGAAATGGTTGACTCTGTACTTTAGGCTTGTGAAGGAGAGTTGTGACCTGAACGCAGCACTAAGGAGTAGAAATGCCAGGGTTCTAATTCCAGGTTTTAACCTTGGGCAAGTCACTTCATATCTCTGCCTCATTTACCATCACTAATGGGGCTAATATTTATTTTATCCACACCTAGAGGCAACATGAGGATTGACTAATGTTTATAAATGCACTTTGAGAATGAAAGGAGCCGTAAAAGTATTTTGTCATGTAAGCACACCCTCTGCAATCTGACTTCTGGGATCAGCATTCATGGGCAAAAACGTTGGGCTCTATTCCCATGCATCAGGAAGTCCTGAAGGCTTACTCTCCACTACTAAAAAGAGAAACCTTAACCCAGTTGTCAATTTCAGTATGTGGGATGGCATGTTTTTTGCATATGGCTAATTTTGAAATACATGGGACTCCCTACTTCCAGCGCAGAGAAGGGACAGTCAGTTCAAGTAACCACTTACAGACTTCTGGAAAACATGTATATGCTCCAGAGATTGAGCACTTAGTAGGGACAGCAATTCTGGCTGGTCTCTCCGCCCCAGAACTGTTACCTATGGGGAGAAGGAGCGTGTGGAAGTGGAAGACAGCGGATAAAGCAGTTTGACTCAAATACCAGTAGTTGCCTTTTGTTGCATCCCTGCAGAGGAGGCTTTTGATGGTCTGTGTAGAGATGAGCCCCAGTGCAAGCAAAGATTATTGTCCCCAAACCTCACAAACTGACTTGTATTCTGATCATCTATTACTGGTGAGGTCATCCTGTGCAGAATCCAGGGCTCCCTCCCATCTGAAAGCCAGGTTTGTTTTATTTTTCCGCCTGGGAGGCAGGATGCTGCTGGGTTGTAGATGTGATCTGGGGGAAGAACATTCCTTTCTCATTGCCCCCAGAAAGCCTGTGGGATGTGCCTTAGGCAAGAAGCTTACAGGACTGCCTACTGGTAACTGAAATCCCACACCAGAAGAGGGGAGTATTGCACTGATGCTGACTGGTTGGGGAGGAGAAAATATTTCTTCATACTGAAATGAACTCAGTCTTGCCAAAAGAAGAATCAGTGGTACCCTAAAATGTTTAATATCGCCAAAGATCTAATGTGGCTTCTCTACATAGATGCTAAGCTGATGTGAGATGAAACCTGGATCCTCTAGGTTAAGGTGTTAAAAGCTGCTGTCTTCATCCACTTTTGGTTTTCTGTCTAGGGAGAGCTTGAGAGGCAGTTGCTTCAGGCTAACCCTATCCTGGAGGCTTTTGGAAATGCCAAGACAGTGAAGAATGACAACTCCTCGAGATTTGTGAGTATTGTTGTCCTGCATGAGTTCTGGTGTCTCCAGTGTTCGAGGGAGAAGCCACTAGTTGAATGAGTTGTGGGAGTCTTGCTTTACTTTTGTGCCTGATATGCAGTCCTGGGATGTTCTTTTCTGTAACTTGCTTCTCTTGAGTGAAACTGGGACACAGTTTTCACTTGTCAGTGAATTATCCACAAAGTACTGATGGGATTGAGTACCTGGAATGCAAGATGTTGAACCTTTGCCAGGACTCCCTGTGCCATTGTTTGTCTATCAAATTCATTTTTCTCCCAAGGAGAGATTAGTGACCCATATTGCATTAATTCTGGAGGGCAGTAGAAAGCTTCTAAGGGATGGGGAAGCTACACTTGAAACCAAATTGAAGTGTAAATGGTTGAAGAGGGGCTGAGCTGTCATGGTGGTCAATCTAGAATGCTATCTCTACTTATGGCACCTAGAACTGAGGTGGAGGGGATCCACTTCAGAGTGAAACTTAACATGTTTCCTGATGCCTAGGCAATCTGAAACCATGTAATTTGATGGCCCCTTTTCTCTCATAGGAGTAATTTATGGTGTCAAGGATGTTAAATTGTTCCATAATCAGTGAGTGTTGTGAGCTGGCTGGGCTTGTGGTCTGTTTAAAACTTGTCTTGGCTGGTAATTGTTATTTGGGTCCTCTACCATTTTGCTCTAGCTGTGATAGCGTAAGATAACAGTAATATTTCTGCTAATCTCTTTCTCAGGGCAAGTTCATCAGAATCAACTTTGATGTCAATGGCTACATTGTGGGAGCCAATATTGAGACTTGTATCCTTTGCACGGAGCCACTTAATAGAAATAATTTACAGGGTGTGGGGAATGGAAACATGCATATCTATCTATCTACCTATATACAGCCAAATAGCGTCTGCCACCTCAACAGCAATGAAGTCAGAGGGATCCCTAGACTTCTGTCAACACCTGTCATCTTAGGCTAGAGAGATCCCTGTTAAGATCGCTAGTTTCGTCTGCAAGTGAAAAAAGGAATCTCTTATTTAAATGGTACAGCATTTCAGAACCTATGTTGGGGTTATAGCAAGAATCCCTTCTGGATGAAATAATTCTAATGTTATGGGATAGAAGTGGCATTTTAAGCTGTGACATGCTGAGTAGACTTTGGATTCCATGACCCTTTCATGTTTTACCCAGGGGAAATGAGGAATGTGGCAAATGTCTTTCCTCCCTTTTATTCACAACTCAGTCTTGCATCCTGGTCCTACCCTTGGAATGAGGATTAACTCAGGAGTCCAGAAGTGCATCTTAAACTTAATCAGCCACTGAGGTTGTTGAAGGGTGGGTTGCTGTCGGCCTATGGCACTACCCAAAGCTTTGAAAGGGCAATGCAGAGCACTAAGCTGCCTGTCACGCCAACCAACTCGAAGGGCACTGACACCAAATAGAACCTCTTTCCTCAGATGAGTGGAATGGGAAGTTACTTGTTAGTCTCTCTGCTGTTCCTTTACTCTGTAAAGATCTCTTGGAGAAATCACGTGCAATCCGTCAAGCCAAAGACGAGCGAACCTTCCATATCTTCTACTACCTGTTGTCTGGGGCAGGGGAGCACCTGAAGAGTGAGTACCTTGTGCTGTAACTAGGGTCCCTTTCCCCTAACTGCCAAACGGTTCCAAACACTTGCAGTCTAGGCCCTATTATTTCCCCTCTTCCAAAGCCTGGAACTGCCTCCCACTGTTTGCTGACCAGGACCTCTCCTTTCAACCATCTCCTTAACTTTTTTCCCTTCCTGCATTGGTACCCCTGCCAATGATGTCTCCACACCCTTCCTTACGTGAACTATTGTCCCGTCCCATGTTTAGTCTTGTCTAATACAGTGCAAGTTCTTCAGGGCAGGAACGATCTTATTGTAAACTTGGCAATTAACAAAATACAGAATAACATTTGGCACCTATGCAGCACTAGGTGTGCCTGTGCTCTGTTAGGGTAACACTTCAAGATCTCAATCTAACCTTCCTGTTAAGTAAGCAGTTTAAACTCTCGCCGCCACTGTGGGAGAGAGCAGACAGACTGGAGAGGTGGGGGGCAGGGAGAAAACTCACTTCATAACCATCTGCACAGCATTAATGGCAGAACATACTGTTCCTAGAGCTGCGTGGTGACCTCCATAACTGATTTGAAACAAACAGGATACCTGAAACTGGACGCAGTTGCAGGGCAGTCTCTGCTTCTAATGGAAGTAGGATCCAAGAATCACTGGGGCTGCTTTGGCAGTGTGCCAGGGGGATGGGATGGAGGAAAGAAAAAATAGTCTGGGCAGAAGAGCATTCTGATTTGTAACTACAGAAATGCTGCTACAAGAAAAACATAAGACAACTGATCTAAACATAAACCCTGGTTCACCCAGCAAGACTGTTTTTTACTTGCTGGGGACAGGAAAAGAACTAAGGGACACATCTTCAAAGGTAATCAGGCACCTAACCTGCTTAGGTGCTTTTGAAAATCTCACTAGGCGCCTATATGCATCTTTAGGCTCCTGAATACCTCTGAAAACCTGAACCCTGAGTCTTTAGTGCAGAGGTCCCCAAAGTATGGGGTCTGCCCCCCCGGGGGGGAGGGGGCGGTGCAGTGGGGCCCAGGCCAGCCCTGCCCCCCACAGGGGTGGGGAGGGAATGCCAGCCAGCCCCTCCCTGCCCCCACTCTGCTCCGGTCCTGCCTCCAGTCGCATCCCCGGCTCCCAGCCCTGCACCTGGACCCATCCCCAACCCCGGCACAGCTCTGCTCCCAGCCCCGCGCTGGCCCCGGCCATTGGCCGTGGCTACATTCCTGGGCCGAGGCTGGGGGCAAGGCCCCCAGCTGCCGGCCCCCACCACAGCCAGGCTGCGGCTCCGCTTCCAGCCCAGCCTTGACCCCTGGCCACAGCTCCCTTCCCGGCCCAAGACTCACCCCCAGCTGTGGCTCCAGCCTCAGCCCCCTTAGCCCTGTCTGTGGCCCTGTCCCCCCGAGCTGCAGCCCAGTGGCAGGAGGGGCATGCACAGAGGTAAGGGGGGCATGACCTGCCAAAGTTTGGGGACTGCTGCTTTAGTAAAAGAGGCCAGAAAAACAAAAGCTGTCTTGTCTTTGTCTCTGCTGGGTATTCTTGACTTCTGTGCTGATGGTTTGGCGGGGTCGGGGGGAGATGGTTGGAAGTGTTTTTTAAAAAAGCTGGAACTGGCAAATGAAATCGTTAAAATCAAGACTTCAGGTGGTTATAACTGACTTTCTTAGAAGCTTGTACAAAGGAGGTAATTCATTTTGGTAGACCTGGGAACGCATACATTTGCAACTGCCTAAAAGAATGCTAGCTTGTTACCTATAATGAAGGCTACAATAATTCCTTGTCCTTTCCTCCCCCTTAAGCTGATCTGCTGTTGGAGCCTTACAACAAGTACAGATTCCTTTCAAATGGGCATGTTACGATCCCGGGTCAGCAAGACAAGGATATGTTTCAGGAGACCCTGGAGGCAATGAAAATCATGAGCATCCCAGATGATGAGCAGATAGGTATGGATCCTATGAAGGGCTTGGAAATGCATGGGAAAGGATTAAAAAGAATGGAACAGTCTGAACATATTCAAAACACATGAGGGGAAGGCAGCCTCTAGTATACCAGTTACACAAGTCAATTAGTGGTATCTGAGAAGCAAGCTGGCTGGTGGTGGTATGGGAGTGGCCCATCTCAAAATTCACCAGCATAGCTTCAGCTAATGCAGAATGCAGCAGGTCACTGTACACAAACTGCCATGTCCCAGGCTTGTTCCCAATCTGTTGGAGTGCTATACATAGTGCTTACCTGTAAAGTCCTCATTCGGTTCTCACGTGGGTGCCTTTCATGGTGTTATCTCTAGAATTTCCTCTACTCTGCAGTCTGCCAGGGGCAAGACTTGGCCTTCTATGGTATGTACAACAAGACACTTGTTCACTCTAGATTTCTCAACTTGGGCCCATAGCCATAGGGGTATCTACTCCACCAATGATTGGAGTTGCTTAGGGTACGTCTACACTTACCTCCGGGTCCGATGGCAGGCAATCGATGTTCTGGGATCAATTTATCGCGTCTTGTCTAGACGCGATAAATCGATCCCGGAAGTGCTCGCCATCGACACCGGTACTCCAGCTCAGCAAGAGGAGTACGTGGCATCGACGGGGGAGCCTTCCTGCCGCGTCTGGACCCGCGGTAAGTTCGGACTAAGGTACTTCGAATTCAGCTACGTTATTAACGTAGCTGAATTTGCGTACCTTAGTCCGAAGTGGGGGGGTAGTGTGGACCAGGCCTTAGTTGTGAACAGTGGCACAAAGCAATGTACCTCTCTGCAGCTTACTGCGCAGCTTGCTAACCAGAAAGTAATATTGTCCAACATCTAGATACATAGTGATAGGCCTTTCTAAGGTACCGTTTCCTTCATCTACTTTCTAAGACTGGCCAAAACTCAGTTATTTTTGTCTTCTCTCTAGAGTGTCAAACATCTCAATTTAGTATCCTTTGTTCATCTTCGACTAAGTCCTCCTCTAGTTCCTGAATCAGTCAAGGAGGCTGGAACCAATGTGTGGGTGAAAAGACATCTCTGCATTGAGGTCTAGTTAGGGATTTGGCAACCTAATGTGTGGCCAAAGAGACCTGATGTCCGCTTTTTAAATTATGCTGAAGGGCATATCTTTACTGGCAAATGGAAGTGGTTCCAGTAGCTCATTTGCAGAGATGCATGGAATGCCATTTCCTCTCTGTTCCGGGTGTGAAATGTTAAATGTTCTTTTAGGCTTATGAGAAACATACATATGGCAGCTGGTTGAACAGTACATTTATTTGGTTTGAATCCAAAGTCTAAACACTCTAACCATCTTTTTAGATGAGACAATATAAAAATAAGCTTTCTGTTTGAAAGCCAGGTCTCCAGATCCAGTCATTGGGCTGTCAGATTTCATGTCATGTCAATGCGTGCATGTGTGCTTCTTTCCTGCCGGTCCTGAAATATCTGTGGAGGCTTTGTTCACTGTGGACATGTGGGCCAGAGATCCTGTAAACTATCTAGTGCTATAGTAGGTAGAGGGGGAGACCACTTGAAGAGGAAGTAGAGTGACCAGTTAGTGGTATAAATAGTTAGCTACTAACAGACTTGCTGTTCAGTGAGACTTGAGATGAAGATGGCATCAGATCAACACTTTTTTCAATATTCAGTATTGAAAATTCTCCCTCTCCGTTCTAGCATCTGATGCTGATTCTTGAAAGGGCTAAGCGGGGTGCTTCAGTATGTTGTTTGCAGTGGTACAGGTGCTTCAGTGGATATCCTGATACCTGCAGTCTGCCACGCTACATATGTTCCAACAAATGGAGACTTTATAACACTTGTGCCAGGGAGGTGAAAGTGTGCTGGATGAAAAGAACAAAGATCTGCCCAACCTTAACTGGCTCACACCCTAATACTGGCGTGGCTTTGCCCTTTCAATGATTACTGTTACACAATGGAAACTTTCATCCTCTTAATCTGATGCCTGAGGTGAACAGGAAAAAAGTCAGTGCATGCTGCTCATACCTTCCTTACATGTATTGCTAATATGCAATTTTAATTTTCTAAATCTGACCTTCCTTTGCTCTATAAAAGGTCTGCTGAGAGTGATCTCGGGTGTTCTTCAGCTTGGCAACATAGTCTTCAAGAAAGAGCGCAACACAGACCAAGCCTCTATGCCAGACAATACAGGTAACCAATCCCACAAAAACAACCAATACTTCTTCCTACGAGAGCATGGGATAAGGGATCATATTTAATAAAGTTCTTTAACAAAACATAAATGTACAAATCATTTTATTCAGTGCTGAACTGCAGCCACCTTTGGGCAGGAATGTGGCAGTGTTCTTGTGGTGTTAGACAGGAAGTGAACATGGTAACTAGTTGAAACTGTTATACTATTGCCATGTGACCTGAGTGTGTTCAGCTGTGGTCAGATGTATGAGAACACCTATAAAACCTATTCTCAGCCTAAATCATGCGCCTTGCTCAAAGGATTTAAGAAATATCCCTTCAGTAGTCTGTTTCAGTTAAAATACTGCTTGATAAGGCTTGAGTGGGCAGATCGGTGATGGATAAATGATACATTTACCTTAGCTAAGTGTTCTCTCTAAATAGGTGTAATTAGCACCCTGTTGGTGCATGCTTGGGAGACTTCTCTCCATTGCCCCATTTAAAAAGGGTACAAGTGGGTGCATTTTCTAGTGGTGTCCCACAGGCATCTGTTCTTGACTCCACAGTACTTAAAACTTTTGTCAATGACTTAGAAGAAAACACACAGTCATCACTGATAGTTTGCATGTGACCCCAAAATTAAGGGAGTGGTAAATAATGCAGACATTTCACTGATAGAGCAATCTGGATTGGTAAACCAAAGAATGCAGGCCGTACTTACAGGTGGGGGGGCTCTATCCTGGGAAACAGTGACTTTGAACAAGATTTGGGGTGCGTGGTAAATAATCAGCTGAACATGAGTTCCCAGTGTGATGCTATGGCCAAAAGGGCTGATGTGATCCTAGGATGCATAAATGGGAATCTAGAGTAGGAGTAGGGAGGTTATTTTACCTCTGTATTTGCAACCACTACTGGAATACTGTACAATTCTAGGAGGATGTTGATAAATTGGAGAGGGTTCAGAGAAGAGCCAGGAGAATAATTTAAAGGATTAGAAAACATGCATTAGAGCAATAGATTCAAGGAGCTCCGTCTATTTAGCTTAACAAAGATAAGGTTAACAAGTGACTTGATTACTGTCTGTAAGTAACTACCTGGTGAACAAATATTTAATAATGGGTTCTTCAAACTAGCAAGAATGGTACAATATAATCCAATGGCTGAAGGTTGAAGCTAGACAAATTCAGACTTGAAATAAGGCATAATTTAATAGAGTAATTAACCATTTGAACAATTTAGCAAGGGTTATGGTGATTCTCCATCACTGACCACTTTTAAATCAAGATGGGATGTGGTGTGTTTTTTGTTTTTTTAAAAGAAAATTTTAAGAATTATTTTGGGAAGTTCTGTGGCCGGTGTTACTCGGGACATTGGACTACATGATCATAATTCTGGACTTGGAATCGATGAATTGTAGTAAGAGGCCAGTAGATAGGAGGCTGCTGAGGACCATAAAAATGGCTTTTGGATTATACCTTCAACCATTATGTCACGATTTAGCAAATCCACTTCAAATGGTTTCCCTCCAGAGAGGAGAGGGGACAGTCTCATATCAGATGTGAAACGTTCTTACACTGATTACAGTTATCTGAAGAGGCCATTCAGCCAGTGCAGATAGACTGATTAGCTGGGATTCCTTTTATATATTTCAGCTACTTGGATGCATCCTCAAAATGGGTGCAGGTAGGGTTACCATACGTCTGGTTTTTCCCAGACATGTCCGGCTTTTTGGTAATCAAACCTCCGTCCGGGGGGAATTTCCAAAAAGCCGAACATGTCCGGGAAAAATACTCCCAGCTTCCGGCATCCCTGGCTTACCTTAGAGCGGGCTCCGGTGGCTGCTGTGCTCCCTGACTCCTCAGCTCTGTAAGAGCCGAGCTGCCCAAGCGCTACCGGCTTCGGGCAGCTGCCATGCCTCCGGATCCTGCGCCCCCGGAGCCCGGGAGGGGAAGTCCCTGGCCGGGGGCGCAGCGGGTCTGGGGGCTGCCCGGCAAACAGTGAAGCCGGTAGCGCTCGGGCAGCCCTTTTCGCGTGGCTGGGAGGGAGGAGGAGGGGGAATGCGGGGCGCTCGGGAGGGGGCGGAGTTGGGGCGGGGACTTTGGGGAAGGGGCGGGGCCAGGGCCCTGTGGAGTTCCTCTTTTTTTAAAACCTTAAATATGGTAACCCTAGTGCAGTTAGTTAATTTGATGGTGCTACTAGGCCAGTGGTCCTGTAGTATCACCTAAAATTTACTCTTGTGTTTCCTGAAGCAATTTAACACACTCCAGTGTTTTTAGATCTCTTCTTTGATTGTCTCATTAACCTGTTCAGTTAAGAGCTATTCATTGCTGGTATTTGACTCTCTAAGAGATAGATTGCCAGGAATATCTTTCTCCTTTTGTCATTTCCCTGTGAAGCAAAAGGAGCATTAATCTTAAGGTGAACATCTCTTTGCTTCCTCTTCTCCTTTCTAGCTGCTCAGAAAGTATCCCACCTTTTGGGTATCAATGTGACCGACTTCACCAGGGGAATCCTAACCCCTCGTATCAAGGTGGGACGAGACTACGTCCAGAAAGCTCAGACTAAAGAGCAGGTATGTGTTCTGCAGAAGTAAGTGAGCCCTTGTAGTAACATAGCACTAAGATTAACATATGCACTAAAGACTTCCATAGCCTCAGATAGCATCTTAATTGACTCAGATAATTGCAATGAGATATGTAAGCAATGGAGTGTGGAAACTGCTTTAGTATTTGCTCCAGTGATCTACAATATATATATAGAAGGTTGTGTGGTGGTGCAGAGTGAGGTAGCTCTTATTTCCCATGTATATTGACTGTGCAACCTGTGATAAGGAAATGTGAAAATGGCAGTTGGCTGTCTCTAGGGAGTGAATTCCCTTCAGGGCTCTCAGCGTCTTATCCAAAGCTGGCACATGCCAGTCAGCCTCTGGGGTAACTCCTTGTGGCCTGCCATGGCACTGTTCACCCTGCCCCAGTTTCCCCCTGGGGAAACTCCCTGGCAGTCGTCTCTCTGCATCACCTGGCAAGGCACCGGTAACCCATGTAGGTGATAGTCCCAAGTGCAACATAAACAAAAAGGGTCTTGTGCCCTCCTGGGCTCAGTTCTTTCCCATTCTCCTGCAGAGCTCTGATTCTCAGGGCTTGCTCCCTCTTCCAGGACCAGTCATAGGAGCAAGCCAGCTTTCCTCCTGCAACTATCCTCAGTCCCCCTCCAGGGTGTCTATCTGAGAGTTATCCTTTTCCAGAGCCTACTAGAGGAGTCAGCTACCCTTCTGCAGCTCCTCTCTCCCAGATGAGTTCTCTCAGGCCTTTATAGATGCACCCAGCTGGGAAGGGGCCAAGGGGTAACAATTAAATGGAGCTATCTGTTCCCTAGCCCAGTAAAGGGCCAGTCAGCTGTAACATGGCATTTCCTACACATTAGGTGCAAAGATAGTGATGCTCATACTCACCCTCAGTGTTGACAAATGCCCTGTGGCATCCCTGAGTGCAGAAATTTAGTTGTAAAATGGAGCAGACCATGCTAGGCCTTTATCTTGGCTATATGTGGCAACTGGCTGCCTCCTGCCAAAGGGCTCTCAGGCCTGCAGTCTGTGTATTTTCACTTCTCAACTTGTCCTGTGATGAACACTTCAGTGTGGTCTCTGGGTGCTATACAAATACCCTCTTTAGAAGTGGGGTGATGGGAAGGAAGGATACCAGTCAGATTCTATAAATCATCCTTGACTGCCCTCCCATTTCAGTATACAACTCTCTTCCTCTGATGCGGGAACTTGACCTTCCAGGAAGTGAGGCATTGAGAAAACAAGCCCCAGACTCCACAAATACCTATGGTTCCCTTATGGAACCCTGAAAAGTCACCATGGTACAGCCATTGACCTTTATGAGAGGACTAGACAGAATTTCCCCTTTGGAGTACCTGGTATTGGCTCCTGCCAGAGGCAAGACGCTGGAATTGGGACTTCTTTGAATCTGATCCAGTATGACAAGTCCTCCATTCATTACTGAGTCCCTCCTTTTCATCTGGAAGAGTCTGCAAAATGACTGACTCATTCACTAAGCCAGTCAAGCCACTGACTCCAACCTGAGTCTCCAATATGCCAGATTCCTGAGCTATTCAGTTTTGGATTACAATATAACTCTTGTTTTTGTTTCCTTCCTACTCAGGCTGACTTTGCCATCGAGGCACTGGCCAAAGCCACTTATGAACGTATGTTCCGTTGGCTGGTGATGCGCATCAACAAGGCCCTGGATAAGACCAAAAGACAGGGGGCATCCTTCATTGGAATCCTTGACATTGCCGGCTTTGAGATTTTTGAAGTAAGGAGGTATTCTATTCCTGCATACAATGCAGCATGTTCCTGCGCCCTTGCTCCCTGGCAGAATATCACTGAGGTCTGGGGAGAAACAGATTAGCCCCTTTTTAAGACTGAACTGGACTTTCTTAGTGGGGAACTGCACTGCCCCACTAACTGGGCAGTTTCTAGGTGTTATTTCAAATTTGTTGCAAATATTTAAATTATCTGTAGTATGTTCTGAGGCTCTCCTTTCTGGAGTGTGTATTGTGGATACTGCAGTAACCATCTGTATGGTTCTGTATCTCTAGATTTCCTCCCATAGATCAGAGTCCAAATGTTCGTTAGCTTTAGGCTGAAGTTTAATGACTTTTGGTGTCTCTCTCTTGCAATGTGGAATTTAAGGGCCACTGTCAACTTGAATGTTTTGAAATTGACTAAAAATGTTTCAGAACACTAAAGGAGGATCTGTTGAAGTTTTTCCAAAAGATATGCTTTAGGAATTTTGGGAAGTTCTATTGTCTGTGTTATACAGGAGGTCAGACTGGATGAATACAATGATGGAACAAGAATAACCAGTGGGACACAGTAATACCAGGATACAAAATATATCGGAAGGTTGTGCTGGTGGGGGAGTGACACTATATGTGAAAGAAAGTATAGAATCAAATGAGTAAAAATCGTAAATGAACCAAACTGTGAATCATAGAATATCAGGGTTGGAAGGGACCTCAAGAGGTCACCTAGTCCAACCCCCTGCTCAAAGCAGAACCAATCCCCTGACAGATTTTTGCCCCAGATCCGTAAATGGCCCCCTCAAAGATTGAACTCACAACCCTGGGTTTAGCAGGCCAATGCTCAAAGCACTGAGCTATCCCTCCTCTGAATCTCTATGGATAGTAATTCCATGCTTGACTAATAAGAATATAGCAATAGGGATCTACTATCAACCACCTGACCAGGATGGTGATAGTGACTGAAATGCTCAGGGAGATGAGAGGCTATAAAAATAAAAAACTCAATAATAATGAGGGATTTCAACTATCCCCATGTTGACTGCGTACATGGCACCTCAGGATGGGATACAGAGATCGTTTCTTGACACCTTAAATAACTGCTTCTTGGAGCAGCTAATGCTGGAACCCATAAGAGGAGATGCAGTTCTTGATTTAGTCCTAAGTAGAGCACAGGATCTGGTCCAAGAGGTGAATATAGCTGAATTGCTTGGTAATAGTGACCATAACATAATAAAATTTAACATCCTGATGTGGGAGGGAACACCAAAGCAGCTCATCATGGTAGCATTTAATTTCAGAAAGGGAACTACACAAAAATGAGGAAGTTAGTTAAACAGAAATTAAAAGGTACGGTGCCAAAAGTGAAATCCCTGCAAGCTGCATGGAAACTTTTTCAAGACACCAAAATAGAGGCTCAATTTAAATGTGTACCCCAAATTAAAAAAACATAGTAAGAGGACCAAAAAAGTGCCATTATGGCTAAACAACAAAGTAAAAAGCAGTTAGAGGCAAAAAAAAATCCTTTAAAAAGTGGAAGTTAAATCCTATTGAGGAAAATAGAAAGGAGCATGAACTCTGGCAAGTGACGTGTAAAAATATAATTAGGAAGGTCAAAAATGAATTCTAAGAACAGCTAGCCAAACACTCAAAAAAATAACAGCAAAAATGTAAGTACACCAGAAGCTGGAAGCCTGCTAAACAACCCGTGGGGGCCACTGGACAATCGAGATGCTAAAGGAGCACTCAAGGAAGATAAGGCCATTTTGGAGAAACTAAATTAATTCTTAGGGAGATTCCCAAACCTGAGATGTTCGTTTTTAGTTGACAGATCTGAGGAACTGTCCCAGATTGATGTCATTAGAGGTTTTGGAACAAATTGGTAAATTAAACAGTAAATACAAGTCACCCGTATGAGATAGTATTCACCCAAGAGTTCTGAAGGAACTCAAATGTGAAATTGAAGAACTGTAGTATATAACCTATCCTTTAAATCAGCTTCTGTACCAGATGACTGGAGGATAGCTAATGAGACATGACTTTTTAAAAAAGGCTCCAGAGGTGCTCTTGACAATTACAGGCGGTAAGCTTATCTTCAGTTCCAGGCAAATTGGTTGAAACTATAGTAAAAAACAGAATTATGAGCCACATAGATGAACCCGATTTGTTGGGAAAGGGTCAACATGTTTTTTGTAAAGGGAATCATGCTTCACCGATCTACTAGAATTCTTTGAGAGGATGAATAAGCATGTGGACAAGGGTGATCCAGTGGATATAATGTACTTAGGTTTTCAGAAAGCCTTTGACGAGGTCCCTGACCAAAGGCTCTTATTCAAAGTAAGCTTTCATGGGATAAGAGGGAAGGTCCTCTCATAGATCAGGAACTGGATAAAAGGTAGGAAACAAAGGGTAGGAATAAATGGTCAGTTTTCAGAATGGAGAGAGGTAAATAATGGTGTCCACCAGGGTTCAACATATTCATAAATGATCTGGAAAAAGGGGTAAACAATGAAGTGGCAAAATTTGCGGATGATACAAAACTCCTCAAGATAGTTAAGTCCAAAGCAGACTGTGAAGAGTTACAAAGGGATCTTACAAAGCTGGGTGACTGGGCAACAAAATGGCAGATGAAATTCAATGTTGATAAATGTAAAGTAATGCATATTGGAAAACGGAAAACAATCCCCACTATACATATAATCTAAAATGATGACGTCTAAATTAGCTATTACCACCCAAGAAAGAGATCTTGGAGTCACTGCGGCTAGTTCTCTGAAAACATCTGCTCAGTGTGCAGCGGCAGTCAAAAAAGCTAACAATGTTGGGAATCATTAGCAAAGGGATAGATAATAAGAGAAAAAAATATATTGCCTCTATATAAATCCATAGTATATCCACATCTTGCATACTGCATGCAGATCTGGTCGCCCCATCTCAGAAAGGATGTATTGGAATTGGGAAGGGTACAGAAAAGGTCAACAAAAATAATTAGGGGTATGGAACAAGTTCCATATGAAGAAAGATTAATAAGACTGGGACTTTTCAGATTGGAAAAGAGATGATGGGGGCGGGGGGGGAATATGATAGAGGTCTATAAAATCATGACTGGTGTGGAGAAAGTAAATAAGGACATGTTGTTTACGCCTCATAATACAAGAACTAGTGGTCATCAAATGAAATTAATAGGCAGCAGGTTTAAAACAAAAGGAAGTATTTCTTCACACAATGCGCAGTCAACCTGTGGAACTCTTTACCAGAGGATGTTGTGAAGGCCAAGACTATAACAGGGTTCAAGAAAGAACTAGATAAGTTCATGGAGGATAGGTCCATCAATGGCTCTTTGCCAGGATGGGCAGGGATGGTGTCCTTAGCCTCTGTTTGCCAGAAGCTGTGAATGGGCGACAGAGGATGGATCGCTTGATGATTCCCTGTTCTACCCATTCCCTCTGAAACACCAGGCCACTGTCAGAAGACAGGATACTGGTTTAGATGGTCTGACCCAGTATGGCCGTTCTTACATCACTTCTGGCCTTGGATTCTATTAAGTGCTTCTAAAAATATTCTTAGAAGCAAGGGAGAGTGGGTCAGATGCAAACATCAGACATTTTGTGGCCTATGTGCATTCCTGCCTGTCAGCCTGTTCAGCAGCATGCAGGTAAGGCATCCCAACTCCAGAACTTCTTCCTTGGACCTACAGAAGTCTCTAGAGGGTGAAAAATACCCTCTCCCGTGTCACCCCATGCTTCCCCAGGTTCCCGTTGCTCCTTGAGCAAAAACTTGGTGGGGAGGGTCAGGAGAGGAGAGAAGGGTCTGGGCTCCCATTGTTCCCCAGATCTATTAAGGGAGCTCCCAACTTTGAGGTTGTGGGAAAAGGGGAGACCTTCCTTGTCCCAGATTGCTGCAGTTTCTCAACTCTTCTGCTGTATTGTAGAGTGTATAAGTGACGCTCTTGTATAACTGAAAGTGATTGATGTAGTGCTACCAGATGTACAGCGTACACAGAACATTTTTTGTCAAACTAATCTGTTATAGAAGTGATCCTAAGTGGTGGTAGAAAAATAGTAAGTAAATCTTCTAACAAAGGTGACCATTCAAGTTGAGTCCCCCTCTAACTTCTCCCCTTTTTCTCCCTATTAGCTGAACTCATTTGAACAGCTGTGTATTAACTACACAAACGAGAAGTTGCAGCAGCTCTTCAATCATACCATGTTCATTCTGGAACAAGAGGAGTACCAACGGGAGGGCATAGAATGGAACTTCATTGATTTTGGCCTGGACCTACAGCCCTGCATCGAGCTCATAGAAAAGCCGGTAAAAAAACAATTTGCACACCCTTTCTGAGCAGCAAGCAGAGGCTGCATTACATGCTTTTTGCCTTCTATGCTATCATGGACAGGCTGGGGACTGGCTTTCCAGTTCCTGCAATCCTTTATCTAAGCAAGTGATTTTACTTAGATGTGAACATGGGCACTTCTTTCCATCTTACTTCCAAATAATATAATGCTGATCAGATGTACCAGTACCCATTCCTAAATTAATGTGCATTGTGAAATCCCCTGCAATGACCTTCTGTATTTTAATGTCCTTTGTCTACGCTTGTAAGGAGAGTGGCCAAGTAGCTTTCCTTTTTCCCTTTAAAAAGCATCCTGTCACCTAAGGCTGGCTCCCTAGACAATCCTAGTTTCGTTTAGGGGTCTTACTAGTGAAAGGAACACTCCAGAATCCAACTGGGGAATCACAGGTGATATTCTGTGATTAGCCATTTCTGTATTGTTGGGAATCTAATTTTAATACAGCTGCTTTTGGTGGTTGGGTATTTTTCTTTCAAAGTGTTTAAATGTTGGCAGTAGCGTAGGGCTGATTTGTGTCTTTATTGAGATGTTCTGGTATATTCCTTGTTTTAGGCGGGGCCCCCTGGTATATTGGCTTTGCTGGATGAAGAGTGCTGGTTCCCAAAAGCGACTGACAAAAGCTTTGTGGAAAAGGTGGTGCAGGAACAAGGCAACCACTCCAAATTCCAGAAGCCAAAACAGCTGAAAGACAAAGCTGACTTCTGCATTATGCACTATGCTGGCAAGGTAAGACTCATGGCTGCTGTGTGGAGTGAATCCAGAACATGCTGCTGGATTCTTCACAAATGTAACTAGATCTAGCTGTTCTTAGAATTCTGATGCTTCACGTGCCAATGAAAGAAGTTTCTATAATTACTCAGGTACCTGACCCAGATGACCCTACCAAATGCATCCACCTTGTGGGCTAGGAGGACTTGCCTACAAAACAGTAGGTGTAAACATTGCAAGACTCAAACTCCAAACTGAGACTAAGATGACCTAACTCAACTTGTTGACTCTTGGTGAACAAATATTCGAGTGATCCTCCACTGCTGTTGAGTGACACTCCCAAGGTGGTGCATACTGGTATTGCAGCCTCACTCCTAGCTCTTAACAACACATACTATAGCAACTGTTCAACTGCATTCTGCAGGTGTGCTCACTAGATAGAGCAGGCAGAGTGGGGAGTAGAGGGTCAGACCCACAAACAATGTCTATTAACCACATCCTTAATGTTGGTTTTTAGACTTGTGCAGGGTCCTCCTAGATCCTGCACTTTTGGAAACCCTCAGTCAATTTCTTGGTGACTAACATGATTCTTTCCTTAGGTGGATTACAAAGCAGATGAGTGGCTGATGAAGAACATGGATCCTCTGAACGATAACATTGCTACTCTTCTCCACCAGTCCTCAGACAAGTTTGTGTCTGAGCTGTGGAAAGATGGTATGTGATTAAAACTCTTTCCTGTTGGCAGTTTTTACTAGAAGAATTGACATTTAACATAATTTGGTATCTGATAAAAATTCTATAACAAGATGTGCTGCTTTTCCCCCTTAGAATGAGAACAGAGATCAGCATGATCTGGAATTAAGCCCTGCGTGGGACTTTTTTTTTTTTTTTTTTTATTCTGACGCGCAATACTCCCTCCCATCCGCTCCTGCAATGTTTCTTGCATTTTTATCCTGCTCCTACCCACAAAAACCTTAGCTCCTGCAAGAGAGACAGATTCCCCCATGCTACTAAAAACCAAACAAAAAAAGTTGGTTAATATATATAATAGAATTCAGAGTTTTTTACCACTAAAAGAGTAAAATATCTTGCTTAAACCATGTAAAAATACTTTAACTCCTTTTATAATGGACATCAAATCTTTCTATCCCTCGCTTAAATTTAAGTATTAAAATGTTTTTTAAAAAAAAGAAACTTGCTTTACATTGCTGAAATTCTATTTGACACACTGACTAGAGATTTAGTATTTACCGTAGTCTTGTCTTTTTTTGTCTTGTTTGGGGGTGGGGGTATATTTTTGGCCCATCCAATCCCGCCTACAACAAAGTGTGTTTTACCTGCTCCCACTATTATGGCAGCGGGACCCAGGGGATCCCAGTCCCACTGCAGGGCTCTAATCTGGAACTTGCTATCTGCTTGCTTCGCTTAGGCAACAATACTGCACAAGAGAAATATCCCCTCTAGCTGAAATGAGGGGTTGACATTCATTGGCCTATAGCCTGGTGCATGCACTGCAGCTACTTCTCTAACCAAGGAATCCCAGGCTCAAATCTGAATCTACCAGTATGTAGCTAGTAGCTACAGCATTCAAGCATGACATCTCAGAGGGTGAAACGATATAGTTAATTCTGTCACTAGTGTGTTCTTGCTGCAGTGTCATTAGGTGTTTTACTCTTTCCTCTTTGGATGTGTTTGTTGCTTTTGACTCTTACTGTTACTATCGCTTTTTTTCCTTGGGTTTTCTTTGACGTCTCTGTCTGTTGCAGAGATGCAGAACGTTCAGAGAGCCTATTTCTATCAACACTTTCCTATTCTTCATCTAGAACCAGGTGACTGAGAAAACCGGCTGTCGTGTCGTGTGTAACGCATCCTAGAGCCATGCAAGAAATGCTTCCGTTAATTCTTCTGTCCCTTTGCCACTCCTGCTTCTCTCTTTGTTCAGTCCCTTTGCTTCGTGCTAGTAACCCCTCTTGGACTTGAAAAACAAAAGCAAAGCTCATACTTTGCAGTGAGATACTTGAAAATGCAGGCACATCCATATGCTGTCCATGCACTCCTAAGACCTGCATAGGAACAGTTAGAAAGGAAACCTAGGAATAGCCAAAAAGCAAACATTTCCATCATCTGTTTGAATACAGACCAGTGATGCTGCATTTCAGTGCAGGATTTTGAGGGATGGTTTCTGAGATGGTACCTATAAAAACAGAACTTCCACTGAATAGTACTCCAGTGGAATGATTTGACTTCAGCTGCTAACCATTTGAGAATGACTTAGAGACTAAGTCTCATGTGACTTGTTCTGCATGGAAAATGGCCTGCCTAGTGAATGCTGTACTGCGCCAGGCTTGCAGAAGTCATTCAAAAATGACAGAATGCAGTTGAGCAGTCCCCATGTACTGTTCCTAGCTGAAACTTCTGTCTTAAATGATTGTCATTTTTGCTGTTTTCATGTAGGCTGTAGGGATCAAGATTTTAAGAGAATTGTTCCAGCCAGAATCTGGGATACTCTTCTGTGGATTTCCCTATGATGTCATTCAGAGACATAGCCTTCTTTTCTCCCTAATTAGAGAGACTTGACCCTATTTTTAGCAGCTATTGTAGGGGTGGCAGATTGTAATGTTGCCTTAGCTGAATAGCAGAGCCTGCCTCTTTGTGGGGTGTCTCATCTTACCAACAGGTTTTTTTACCCCAAAGCAAGGTTGTGCTCAAGTAAAATATATCCTTTTGTAGTGATCCCCCCCCCCCCCCGACATGGTGATAGCTGTTGCCTGGCATCTAAACGAAGATCAGAGAAGCAATGATGCTACCAAGCCAATGTGATTAGGAGCTTAGGGAATTTGTTTCTTAGTTTTGCAGGCTGGTAGAAATTGGGTAGGAAAGTTGGGAAGATAAGTGCTATAGCTTCTCCTGGCCTCTTCCCCCAAAATTTGGCCAGTATCTATTGATAAAATAGCCCTGTTCAAAAATGGAGAAACTCCATTAATCTGTGTCTAATGGCTTCTTCAATTCCTTGGAGCACAGTGTTTGTGGTACAAAAGGGAGCTGTTAGGATCTCTAACAACTTTTTCCACCAAGGCTGTTGGAAGTGTAGCGCACTCTCGTATCTAACTTAGTGTACTTGTCCTCTGAAAAGTGACTCGAATAATGGCATTGTGGGGTTCCAAGTTTGTGATGATTCCATTCCATGTTTGCTCAGTTTATGGGTTAAGAATGTGGCTTTTCTAACTGCTAGCCCTGCAAGGTCAAGCAGAGTTATTACCGTGCACATTACTGGCTGAACTTGTAGCTCCATTTGTGTCAGGGTTGCTGGTCGTTGTGTAGGAAGGAAAAAGACCAGGTTGAATCTGTTAGAAGTGCCATCTTTTTACTTGGAAACTAACCAAGCCTGGTGTGGAATCTGAGGTAGTAAACACAAAATCCATTATGCCATTTTTTGTTTGCTCTTCAGAATACAACTGCTCTTTTTTTAAACTGTCAGTTGTGTCCATCTCACACAACAATTCATCACTCAGAGACCCAGTAGTGAGCTGCTGCTTTCTTTCCTTCCTGCCCCATTCCTGCACAAATGCTGGACAGGACTTCTACATCTGTGTAGAGAAGAAGCAAAAAGGATCCTGCAGCTCCTCTTATCCTGCTCTGCCCAAATATTATTTGCAGACGCTCACCTACCAGACTATCGTGGAAGTTCTAACTCTCTCCCTGTGCTTTCTTTAGTTGATCGTATAGTTGGGCTGGATCAGGTGGCTGGTATGTCAGATACAGCATTGCCAGGAGCCTTTAAAACCAGGAAGGGTATGTTCCGAACAGTGGGACAGCTCTACAAAGAACAGCTATCCAAGCTGATGGCTACCCTGAGGAACACCAACCCCAACTTTGTCCGCTGCATCATCCCCAATCATGAGAAGAAGGTGAAAGACGATCTCTGGCTGGGCTAGCAAAATACTGGCAGTGTCTTGGGAGTGAGGGGATGACTGGTAAACCTGCTTGTTGTGAAGGACACAACTATGGCCTTCGATCACTTGCAAGGCTTTGTAGAGGGGTATGAAGAGTTTCCTTTCCTGGTGACTGCATTTGTTGCACAGCAGAAGTAGTACCTACCTCTCTGTTACTCTTAAATCTCTGATGTCATTTTAATTATAGTCCACTTGTAATACCTGCCTGAAGCTCAGATGTATGATTTTCTTTCTAGATGGCTTTGTAACATTAAATACCAGCCAGACTGTTCTAGGGCACTAAGAATGAATCCTATAACTCCCTTAACTTTGGAGGTGGATCTCTGTTTTCCTCTATAGTAAAAAGGTGTAAGGGCCTTCCTTATGGCTTCCCCTGGAATGGGCACTTTGAGTTCAATGAGCAGAGTAGGAGTCTCTCTTTACAGCTCTGGTAAAGTTTTATAACATTTCTAAATGCCTTCCCTCATTAGGCTGGCAAACTGGACCCCCATTTAGTCCTGGATCAGCTCCGCTGTAATGGAGTGCTGGAGGGAATCCGTATCTGCCGACAGGGCTTTCCCAATAGAGTCGTCTTCCAGGAGTTCAGACAAAGGTAAAGTTCTGATCAGAGCATAAAAGTAGCCTCTCAATCATACCAGTTTAAATGCATGTTCAGTGCGTAAGAGTCGCTTTGTTTTAATCATAATTTGATTGCCCCTGCTTCTAAATGGCAGGGGACTTAAATATCAAAGGCAGTGACGTAGGAGTTCGCCACTTGTTGTTATGGGAGCGAGGTCTCTCTAGAGATTGTAGTAATCTGTTGGATCTGGGCTGCTTTGCTTCTCTCACAACAAAAGCTGTGACTTATGTGGTAAACCTGTAGTTGGCATGATGGGTAGAAGACCTCAGCCAAGACTGTGGCTTTATCTACTACTACCAAAGGGCATAAACACTGTATTCTGTAATCCACTAGAGTTACAAACTATACAAATTCATAGTTCCATGGGAATATGTTACAGGCATTATTCTCTCCCAGATTTCTTCATCGGAGTGTCTAGTGCAACTTCTATATCATCTGTCAAACTGGTCTAACACGTAGATTGTCCCTGCAGATATGAGATCCTGACTCCAAATTCAATTCCCAAAGGATTCATGGATGGAAAGCAGGCCTGTGTGCTGATGGTAAGCCGCATCCTAAACCAGGGGCGGGCAAACTTTTTGGCTTGAGGGCTGCATCGGGTTTCGTAAATTGTATGGAGGGCCAGTTAGGGGAGGGGGTTGTGGCCTATCCTCCACCTCCTATCTGTCCTCCTCCCCCTGGGACTCCTGCCCCATCCAACCCCTGCTGTTCCCTGACAGCCCCTCTGGGACCCCTGCCCCATCCATACACCCCCACTCCTTGTCCCCTGACCAACCCCGGACCCCTGCCGCCCCATCCAACCCCTCCTCTCATTCCTGACGGTCCCCCCAGGACCCCTGCCCCATCCAAGCACCCTTCTCCCTGTCCCCTGACTGCCCCCGCCACCCCATTCAACCTCCTGTTCCCGCCCCCCTATCCACACCCCCACCTCCTGACCACCACCCTGAACTCCCCTGCCCTCTATCCAACCCCCTTTGTCCCCTGCTCCCTGACCACGCTGCCTGAAGCACCGGTGGCTGGCGGCGCTGGAGCCGGGCCACGCCGCTGCCGCCACCACGCAGCACAGAGCACTGTCAGGCTGGGTTCTGCAGCTGCGCTGCCCAGGAGCTGCCCCGCCGCTAGCCAAATGACATATTGGGATTTTTCATGCTGGTGAGCTGAGACTCAGATACAGGCGGAGGTGAGCTGGGGGGCGGGGTGGGGAGCTCCCGGTGGGTGCAGAGCACCTACCAATTTTTCTCCGTGGGTGCTCCAGCCCCGGAGCACCCACAGAGTCGGCGCCTGTGGTGATAGCTGCTTTTAGTGCAGGGTCCAAGTGGCCAGTGCAGGAATGCCTGTGGCAAAGTGGCTATCTAGCATTCCAACTGAAACTGAACTAGTGTGTAGTGGATGCCACATCCACTCTGTCACATGCATAATGTAGCTGATTTTTTCCCCAGCTGTTAAATGCTTAATGCTAGGCAGGTCCTAGGGGAAGAGGAAACTGGGTGGAGCACTTCTTCTGACAAGGGAAAAGAAGCTGGAAGAGTTGTATCATTTATGGGAGGGATCAGCAAGTCTGTGCTGTTTAGGAAGGGAAGAGGAAGGTTAGGCACAGTATATATTTAAATATATAGGGTTAAACCCAAACCCGGCTACAACCTCTAGCAGAGGGTGGGAGCACAATATTCTCATTGTAGCTTCTTAAACTGGCTAGTAAGATGTCTTTTGTGCACAAGTGGTCAGGCCTGGACATACATGTTCCCTAAAGTCTTGTGGACTTAAATGCTCTAGTGTGGTGTACTAAACCTGACTGCATGTTTCCCCTCTGCCCCTCCATCCCATCCTGTGCTTGACTGAACTCTAAGAATCCTTCTAGAGCAGTGGTTTTCAACCTTTTTTCATTTGCGGACCCCCAGAAAATTTCAAACAGAAGTGTGAGGGCCCCTTTGGAAATCTTAGAAATAGTCTGTGGACCCACAGGTTGTAAACCACTGCTCTAGAGCCAGCTGTGTCAACTGGCCAGATGATCTTGGTGCAGGGGAGGAATGTCTTCTAGCATTGTAAACGGTTGTTTCTTGTGACAAATCACTCAGAGCAGTCCCAGTGCAGGGATGTTTTCCTATTTCTAATGGGTGCATTCTCCCTCTCTCCTCTCTTTAGATCAAAGCATTGGAGCTGGATCCAAACCTATATCGAATTGGACAGAGTAAAGTTTTTTTCAGAGCTGGAGTCCTCGCTCACCTTGAGGAGGAAAGAGACCTGAAGATCACAGATGTCATTATTGAGTTCCAAGCATGCTGCAGAGGATACCTAGCCAGAAAGTAAGAACCATACTCCATGATGTACATGTGTGTCAAATGCATACTCATCCTTGTTGGGTCAAGCTTCTATTCTACGAAGCCAACTAAAAATGATTCCCTTCAGAAAGGACTAACTCTTGTCTGAGGATTCAGTCACAAAATGCAACAGCTGATGTTTAAGGCATTTACAAAACTCAGGTACAACTTATGAAAACTTGACACCAGAGTGAAATTGCAATGCATTGACTAAATCCTGGTAAAGACTTCTGCAAGGAAGTGTTTGAGCGAGTATCCTACATCCTCCTTGGTTTTTATAGGCTGTAAAGCATACTCTTGTCTATAGGTACTTCAAGCAATGGGGAAGCCTTTTGCCAGAGCAATCACAACCACAGATGGCAGATGTGAGAATTTGAAAAGGGTTTCTGCCATCAACATGGAGAGAGTCTAGTGCAATACAAATGTTTTGTGTACATCTGCCTCTCAAAACTCTAGAGTTGGGACTGTGGAGAGAACAGTATAAACCACAGCACATTTCTGTAAACATACAAATGGTATGGTGAGCAAACAGACATCGAACCAGTAGTGAAGGGAGACATGGGCAAGGGAACAAAGATCTCTTGATGGTGAGTAGTGAGTCATAGAGGCTGGGAGGATTGTTCCTCATGGGGCAGAAGTTGGAGAGAAGGCTCTTCCTCACTGGTGAAGAAAATGAAGGAAGGAAGACAGCCCATGTATACTGAGCAGTATAGTCAAGGTCTGAAATAAAGAAAGCTCATGGAATGTTTAGAAAGGACAATCTGGAAATGACAGTTGGAGGTGGCTGAGGATTGACTTGATGATGTAGATGTCTGTGTGGAACCTGTGGCTTTGTTGGTTGTCTGACCACTCTTATTTTTCAGGGCCTTTGCCAAACGTCAACAGCAACTAACTGCAATGAAGGTGCTTCAGAGGAATTGTGCTGCCTACTTGAAGCTGCGTAACTGGCAGTGGTGGAGGCTGTTCACCAAGGTACATCTTCTCACCTGGCTATTTGGCAAAGGGTTAACAGCTGTAACTGGAGCTTTCCATGCTCAGCAAGACAAAAACTTCTCCATACAGGGTCTCTGCTCCATGTCGTAGCTGGATAATACCAGCAGAGCTGTTCCAAGTGTAGTTATGCAGGATATCCGCATGCCTCAGGTGCACTGCTGCATAGGAATCTAGTAACGCAGTGGAAAAGGCAAAAGTAATCTTCCAAGTCCTCCAAGCCCAGAAGAGCCTTGTCCTCTGCACCCTTCCAAGAGGAGGGCTGTTTGTTGTATAGCTGAACTGTGCTGTTGCTGGAGTTGTTTAGAGTGGTGAGGGGTTCACCATCCCTCCCAGAGCAGTAGAAGAAAAGAGGGGGAGTGCCTGAGGTTCTGATCCTCTACCAATAGACTCAATCATTTTCTGGCCTGTAACTGAAGTGGGCGTCAGCAGGAATGAGGCTCTTGAGCTGAGTTAGGAGCAAAGTAAATCTTAATTTTCCCCTACTGTGAAATGAGATTTCTGATTGACCTTTCTGTGAAGTAGCCCTCGCCAACATGCAGATGGACTTGCGCTCTTCTCTCCTGATGTCTTTCCTGGCTTAGCACCAGGTCCTTCATGCACCTAGACATTACCTACCTCTTTCCTGCTGTATCCTGGCCTGAAGTAAGGGGTGGGTGGGCATTGAGAGTTAGTGGTGGGGTAGATTATACGGAGTCTCCAATGATTCTGCCTCCCAGCAGCACCTCTCCTACCATGGCATTCTCTAGTGTCCCAACAAAACCCTGGCAATTGACCAGTACACCACTACCCGATATAACACGAATTCGGATATAACGCAGTAAAGCAGCGCTCCGGGGAGGCGGGGCTGCACGCTCCGGCGGATCAAAGCAAGTTCGATATAACGCAGTTTCACCTATAACAGGCTAAGATTTTTTTGGCTCCCGAGGACAGCGTTATATCTGGGTAGAGGTGTACTTTCGATCTAAAACAAACCTTATCTAAGCTTGTGTTGGGACTGGCCTGTTTTCTAGTGTAAGTTTCCTTCCAGTGCCCATTTACTGAATACTAGGGCCTCTCCATGCTATTTTTCTTGCTATTGACTCTCTGTACATTCCATTAATTTTCTCTTTGCAGGTGAAACCCCTGCTGCAGGTAAGCAGGCAGGAAGAGGAGATGATGGCCAAGGAAGAAGAGCTGGTGAAGGTCAAGGAGAGGCAGTTGGCTGCAGAAAACAGACTGACTGAGATGGAGACCCTCCAAACACAGGTGAATCTCCCTCACAAAACCCCAGCTAGTCAAATTACTAGATGGCTGTTCTTTCACATAGCTGGTCCATGATCTACGAATGGCAGGATTCCTGCTTAAGTGTGTTAATTAGTTCTCTCTGGCTTAAGTACCCCAGCTCTCTTCTCTTAGTTCTGCAACAGTGAACAGCTGTTGCTCCGCTACAGCCATCATTTGGATTAAAATCTCCATTGACTGAGTATTGTGGAGAGTCACAGAAACAGAACATGGTCACTAACAGATTGTCTCTGGCTTGGAGTAGAGAAGGTTTTTTTGTTTAGGGATAACATCTGTGTGTTTTCCTCCTCCCTCGTAAAGAAAAATCTCTCTCACTCAGGAAGGGCGGTCCCAAGACATCTCTTAAGGGTTGATGTAACATATGAGATTGTACTATACAAGTTTATGCAAGGGGATAAAACTTAAAACATGACATTCCTACTTTGGCTTGTGACTAGCAGCAGGACACTCCTGGTCCTGCACTGAGAAGAGTCTATTCAAAAGGAAGAGCATATGTGCAAAATATAAGGAAAAGTACCAGGGGTTTAGCACAAAAGTAAAGTCACCAAAAGGTTCAGTGATTTGGAACTTAAAGATCCTGGGTTTGTCTCCTGTGTAGCTAATAGCAGAGAAGCTGCAGCTGCAGGAGCAGCTGCAGGCAGAGACTGAGCTCTGTGCTGAGGCTGAGGAGATAAGGGCCCGTCTAACGGCGAAGAAACAAGAGTTGGAGGACATCTGTCATGACCTGGAGGCCAGGGTGGAGGAAGAGGAAGAACGGTGTCAACATCTGCAGGTTGAGAAGAAGAAAATGCAGCAGAACATTCAGGTAACATCCTGGGAATGGCACCAGTGTGTGTGAATGAGGTGGTTGGTGACTATCAGAATAGTGGTGCTGTCTCAGTGGGAAGGATAACAGAACAGGAGGCAAAAAATAGTGGTATGGAAGGTGGGGTCTGAACTCAACTTTAACTTGTTAGGGTCTGTTACCTCACTCGTGCCTTCAGGAAGTTGGCACAGACTGCTGACTCTGGAGACAGCAATAGGACAGTTCTAGCTCTGGGGTCAGCTAACCCTAATACACATATAGCTATCTGAGATAATTTCCCCAGTTCTTAGGTGATGGTTGAATCTGAGGTTGCTCTTAGGTGACTGGTGGATCCTTAGTTAAAATGGTAGTCTGGAGACTATATATCCTCTCTAGCAGAAGCAGCAGTGCCACTTTGCATATAAGCTTATGTACTTGATTATATTTCTAGATGGGAATGCAGTGTGCTACATCCAACTAGTGGCTACAGAATTCTTGTATATTGGTGATTGTTTGGAGGATGGGGAGACCCTCATTTTGAGGGTCAATTTGTAATGGTTGTATTAATACTATAGTGATGACACGTGAGCAGTATGAATAACATGCCATGGGCCTTATTCAGGAACTAGAGGAGCAGCTGGAGGAAGAGGAAAGTGCAAGGCAGAAGCTGCAGCTAGAGAAGGTGACCACAGAGGCCAAGCTGAAGAAGCTGGAGGAAGATCTAATAGTTTTAGAAGACCATAATCTCAAACTGGCCAAGGTAAGGTGCACACACAGCTCCCTACACAACAGCATCGGGGTGCCCAGCTGGTCTGGTGGGTACAGGAAGTCAGCTGTAGCCACTCCTGGTATGTTGTGTCAAGGGAGGGGCTAAACTGGGTTTTCAGTGACTTTGCTGACTTCCTGAGCTGAACACATTCCTGAAATTAGTTACCAGTTTACAGGTCAATATACAGAGACTGGTACTGTGCTCAAGCAGTCTTGAGTGGGCCTGTTCTGTCTGATTATATTGCCTATGGTGAGCAGCACATAGCCTAAAGAGCTCTCTTCACTTTCAAAGGGCTATCAAATACTAGTCAGCTATTTTAAAAATAACTAGTATTTGGAATCTACCCTGAATCCTGAAGTCTCCGTTATCACCAACTTTTATCTCCCTTTGGTCAGTGTAAAATTTCTTCTAGGGAATGGTCCTGTAAACCTGGAGATCAGTCTCCACTCCCACTCTGTCAGTGAACCTCCCTCTGAAGCCAGTGAGCACCCATTCCTTGTGTCCGGCAGAAGTGTGGTTGCTGGAGCCCAGAAGACTCCGGCCTCTGCCCCCACCCACTCTGGGACTCCAAGAAAAGAGTGCTTTATTTTCCCAGCCGCTTGGACTTGAACTGGGGTTATATGACTAGTTCCGGGTGTGATTGGGGGGGGTGGGGACACGGGGGTGTCAGACTTCCATTACTTCTAATCAGGTATGCATGAGACAGTTGGACTTGATACTGTCATTCAAACACTGCCAACCTAGAATGAGTTGTGCAGCCCGGTGAAAGAGCCATGGAACATTCTTGACCTAAATTAAACAGTATCTTAATTCTTAATCCAGGAAACGAAAGTGTAAGGGTTACACTGTCCCTGTATCCAACCCGTTGTGCTGTAGCCTCAGAAGATCTTTGGTCATAGGATGATCCTATATATAGGATTTGGGAAACCCAGGAAGTGTGGGTCAGCCACCACTCTCTAGCCAAATCCAAGACTGGGTTTGGGGTTTTTCTGTGGCAGGAGTCGGCACACACGAACAGATTATAGCCTATTTCAGTCTATACAAATGAGTTCATCCAAATTCCAGCACCAGATTTGACACTGGCTTTTAAATCCTGCAGGAGAAGAAACTGTTGGAAGACAGAGTATCTGAGTTCACAACCAATCTAACTGAGGAAGAGGAGAAGTCTAAGAGTCTGGCTAAACTCAAGAACAAACATGAGGCCATGATCACAGATCTGGAAGGTAGAGAGAGGGCTTGGGAAGAACTTGCTTATTTAGTATTGGCGTTCCTGTCAGTCAGGATTTCCTAAATCTCAGACTGATTCTAGGTCTGTGGCCTCATTGGGATTCCAGTTACCAAAGGGTTAATACTGTGGGACTGTAGCGGGAATGCTATTGATCAGTCTGATGGAACCATTCAGTGGCTGGCTGGCTGAAGGTTATATGCCTTGTCAGCTGAGCTTTGGTCTAAATAAAATTATCTAAACCAGCAGACTAATGGCGAAGAAAGACTGGTTCCATTTCTTTTCGTGCTGTGGGAGTGTCTCCGCTCTTCTGCTTCCAGTGGTACCTGTACACGGGGGTTAGTGCTGCTGCTGTTGATCCAGAGTGTCTCCTTGTTAGTGCCGTTCAGGATGCAGATTTAAAGATTTTATTCACCTCTGATTGGTCTCTGTGGAAAAACTGCTGGGAGAAACACAGCCTGGAGCAGCCCATTCCCTTTCTGTGGAGGGAGGGGAGCTATTGCTGAGCATCACTTTTGTAGCTACATGTGCAGTGAGATGTAGGTTGGGAGGAGTATGGCACTGTCTTCCCTGGCAAAGGCGTCCTCATGATGGAGGAGAATAAGGGGAGCTGGCTGTAAAGTAAGAACCTGAAACATCTTCCGGATCTCGCGTCTACTAGGAGTGTCAGATTGAGGGCAGACGCTACAGGTCATTGGAAGAACATATAGTATCCAGCAGGGTGGTGGTTAGATGCCATATTAGAAAAGATTCAGTCACTCAGTTTTGCTCTCTTGCTGATGCATCATGCGGTGTCCTAAGAATAAATATCTTCATTTATGCTACTGTGTCCCTCTTCCCTGTCTGTCTCCTTCAGAACGCCTGCGTCGCGAAGAGAAGCAGCGGCAGGAGTTGGAGAAGACTCGCAGGAAGCTTGAGGGAGACTCCACTGATCTGCATGACCAGATTGCTGAGCTGCAGGCTCAGATTGCAGAACTCAAAATGCAGCTGGCCAAGAAGGAGGAAGAACTACAAGCAGCCTTGGCTAGGTGAGGCCTTGCCACCTGATCAGAGTTTCTTGCCCTGTGTTGCTTATCGGAGTAGGAACTGAATGGAATAGGCAGCTCTTGTAAACTAGCTTATTTGACTGTAAAATCAATGCATTTAACACTATAGTTTTTTGACTGCCGATTCCTGCCACAGACGTGTGTGCAGCAGTAGAATATGAACATGCTGTGAAATGCCCATGCTTCCCAGGACAGCAATACATCAAAGGGGGTTGACATGAGCAGCAGCAGGGGCAGCTTAGTTTACTGAACAGATACAAAAATCAACCTTGAAAAGTCAGTGCTTAAGTTACATTCTACATTACAAATTAACATACAGTATGTGGCCCCTTCTCTTCTGTCTTCTCCCACCTTGTCAACATTCCTCTGCCCTCCAGTTTGAACTAGATAATCTCACCTCTCAATCAGTGGCAGACAGAATTAGGACCTTTAATTGTGGAGGGAATAAGACCAGAAACTGGGACCTTGGCCTCACAAACCAGTGCAGAGCACTAACCTCTCTCCTATTCACTATTTTGTGATCACTTTTCTGGAGACAGGTGGTGTGGGTCACTCAAGCTTCACATGGCTAGAATTGTATTGCTGTGTCTTATGCAGGGTGGAGGAGGAGGCAGCCCAGAAGAACATGGCTTTGAAAAAGATCCGGGAGCTGGAATCTCAGATCACTGAACTGCAGGAAGACCTGGAGTCTGAGCGGGCAGCTAGGAACAAAGCAGAAAAACAGAAGCGGGATCTGGGAGAGGAGCTGGAGGCATTGAAAACAGAGCTAGAGGATACGCTAGATTCAACTGCTGCACAGCAGGAACTCAGGTAACTGCAATACTCAAAAACAGTGGTGCTTGGTGAAGTAAACCAGGTGCTAGCATCTTCACCATGGGAGGAGAAGACTGAGTACTTCAGCAACTGCAGAGATTTAGAGAGGCTAGAGTGAAATGTCTGGTTAAGACTGCAGTCTCTCACAAGATGGTACCTTCCCTGGTTTGTGAAAGCTGATATTTTCCTAATCCTAGAATGACAAGGCCCCAGAACTACTGTTCTTGCAGCCAGTGGGCAAAATAGACTCCGTCTGGAGGACACTTCTCTAAGCTTTGATCTGAGCTTAGAATCACAAAATTTAAAGATGGGCAAGGCTGGACTCTGATAATAACTCAAGGATTGTTTATCTTTTCATAGCTTGAGTCTCTTAACCAGTACCTGGTTATCTCTGTCAAAGATGCCAAGCTACAGGGGAATGTTCCTTGGTCTTGTCCATTAAAAATGTCTGGGGTTTTTGCAGGTCAAAACGGGAACAGGAAGTGACTCTTCTGAAGAAAACCCTGGATGATGAAGCAAAGACCCATGAGGCACAAATCCAGGAGATGAGGCAGAAACATTCACAGGCATTGGAGGAGCTGGCAGAGCAACTGGAACAAACCAAGCGGGTATGTAAAAGAACGGGAGTCATAGTGCAACATCAGACAATCTCTCTGGAACAGTAGCTGCTGTACAACAGGGGCCAATATTTAAAGCTTCAGAGGACTATGGAAATACACCCGATCAGTTTCAGAATGGTAACTAATTTGTCTCATGTTTTTCTCTCACCCTCCCCCCCTCGCTGCTGCCCCTCGCCCCCAGTAGATCAGCATATACCCTGAAGCATTATAGTTACTCTTAATATGTTGCACTCAGTGCTCTCCCCTCTCGCCCCCCAATATAACTGTACTGCATAGCTGTGACACACTAGTTCCTTTCAATGATGGTACTTGCTGACCTCTGGTCCCTGCTCTTACTATGACTGCAGGGAGTTTAATTTGCTAATCTGAACTACAAGACTGTCCTCAGTTTTATCTTCTCCCCATGACTGTTACTACTTTGAGTAGGTAAATGTCTGCAGCTTTTCAGTGGCTGGGTGCTGAATTCTAACTATGGGATCTGCTTTCTTGAGTAAGCAGACAGGGCCTAACGGTGAAACACTATTTGTTGGCTGTCAGAATAAACACCTCAGTGAGAGTAAAGATCCACTACATCTAAAATCTGCTCTTTCTCCTTCAGGTGAAAACGAATCTTGAGAAGGCAAAGCAGGCTCTGGAGAGCGAGCGTGCTGAGCTGTCCAATGAGGTGAAGGTGCTTCTGCAAGGCAAAGGGGACTCTGAGTACAAGCGAAAGAAAGTAGAGGCCCAGCTCCAAGAGCTACAGGTGAAATTTACGGATGGTGAAAGAGTGCGGACAGAGCTGGCCGAGAAAGTCACCAAACTCCAGGTAAGGGTCCATGAGTTTTCCTTAGCTCCTGTGGGGGCATGTTATGGGAAAGGTGGAAAACGACTGCTTCAACTATTGCTGCTGACTCCATAAGGGAGGGGTAAACCTTTCCCTCCCTCCCACTCAGTGGACACTGCCTCATGGCGCCTTCGTGTAGGGATACTAAGTGCAATGGGTGGGAGACATACTGTGATCCAGGAAAGAGCAGAGACCTGGTGCTGAGGAACTGGCATATCTAGTCTTGGGGCAGGAGGGTGTAAGAAGGAAAAGTATCAACAACTCCTCTCTGTAACCTTGAGTAATTGTGTAAAATCTCCCGTGGGCTGCAGCAGAATGGATGGCCAGTGCAGGCCTTCACAGATGGGGAAATTTGAATTGAGGTTCCATTAATGTCGTCTTCAAGGATTCCATCCTTGGCACTCTTAGACATATAACGCATCCTGTTTGCAGTGAAGAAGGTGGCTTTTTCACAGGTCAAAAGCTGCACATCTTGTTTGTTTGCGGTTCCATTTGATAACTGGCATGCTTTAACTTCTCTTGCAGGTCGAGCTGGACAACATTACAGGCCTTCTGAATCAGTCTGACAGCAAGTCAATCAAATTAGCGAAAGACTTCTCTACTCTGGAGTCACAGCTTCAGGATACCCAGGTGAGGTGTGGGAGTTGCAGCATCCTTATGTACTGTATTCATCATACTTGCCACATTAGTAGAGCACAGAGCAGATCTCAGCACTAAATACCCATGAACTTCTGTGCATCAGGTGTTTCTGGCTGATGTGATACGCTGAGTGGGTCCCCTCAGGAATGATCCCTCTGTCCTCCTACCCGCTCCATCAGTAAATGGAATAAACTTAACTTCCCTTACCCCAGGATTAGAACCATTCCCATCACCTTCCCACTTGAGTGTTGTGTGCGCCAATGCAGTGTTCTCACTTTAAGATCAGTGGTGGTTTTGGTGCACACTGTTTTTCAATTACTTTCCATTTGTAGCTTCCTTTGAAGTCCATAGTGACTGCACAAAGTAGCCTTATTTGGTAGTGAAGGAGAAAGCAGTACATCAGATACATTTGAGTGTTTCAGAAAACCTTATTCTGTTTAGATGGGCTTGGATATAATTGCCATTTAAGTATATAGGCCTGCAGCCAAAGGGGTGAGTTGTGGGGATACTCTACAGAATGATGAAGGTGGTCAGATTGGACCCAGTATTCATCTGGCAGAGTAAACAGCATGTAGATGGAATATAACTATGCTAAACTGGAAGGCATTGAACAACAGGGAGGATGCATCATAATCCAGAAAGGATTAATTGGGAAGGAGCAAGTTAGAAAATAGTCTTAGTACTTGTTGCTTTTGGTCTTAGATTATAAATTCTTCACAACAGGGATTCTCTTATTATTTGTACAGCACCCTGCACAATGGTCCCAATTCTGCTTGGGACCTAGGTGTTACTATAATACAGATAATAAATAGCTTATCCAAAGTTACTGTTGAAAAGGTTGATAGTGGACCTCTGATTAGAACAGAATGTGTGGCAGCAAAAGGCCAGTATAGTTTGGGGCTTTGTATGCAGAAGCAGCATATCTCTATCACCTCCCTGCTCTACGATATGCCTCTGATGCAACCATGCTTAGACTATTGCATTCGGGTCTGGGCATCTCTTTATCAGAAAGACTGACCAATTAAAGATTGCTCAGAAGAGGAAATTATTAAGGGGCTGGATGGAATCTTTTATGTAGAACTTGGCTAAGTGGGGAATGTGATGAGCCTACAAATTTGGGGGTGTAAATGCTGAGGAAAGGAGAAGAATTATTTAGTGGTCCACGAGTATAACTCTGAAATGGAGGGGGAAAGCTTAGGTTGAATATTTAGGGGCTGACTGTAAGACCTGTCAGTTTGTGGAATAAGCTCTATCTCTTATTGACACCTGTGTTCTTGGAACACTTAAAAGTAAACTAGACCCAATATTAATACACCACCGAACAATTGTGCATTGGCAGGGAGATTGAAGAGATCACTACCTTTAGGTCATCTAGTCTAAATAGTGGCAGCATGATTTAATCAATGTGGGTGCTGCCCTAGGACAGTTTGTAGATCACAATCACCTATCTGAGCAGGAGTGTTAAAGGCACCAGCTGCTTAAGAGAGAATTATCATCGTTAACCTGTTCTGATTTTCAGTATTCAAGTCCATCATGAAATGGGGATGGCAGAATACAGCTAACTGCCAGCATGAACTATTGGAAGGAGTTGGAAAGCTTTGTGTGCTGTTTGCAGAGAACCCTGGAAAGGATTATTGGGTGGCTGGGCCGGGAGGCAGATGCTAGCACTTGTGCATCTCAGCTATACATAGTAAAGGAGTGTCCTTCAATGGTTAGAGTAGGACTGGAAATAGGAGTTGTGGGTGTTCTCCCTGGCTGTACGCTGACTTGCTGAATGACATTGAGCCGTCATTTAAACTCTGTTGTTTTCTCTTTGAAAGTAGGATTCTTAAACTGAATCTCATGAGTTGACATCCACGTTGGGTGGTTGGGGATTGTAAAGTTCCAAAGGCTCTAAATGTCCATGTCTTTGCTGTGTAGGAGCTGCTTCAGGAGGAGACTCGCCAGAAGCTGAGCCTCAGCACCAAACTGAAGCAGGTGGAGGATGAGAAGAACAGCTTCAAAGAGCAGCTGGAGGAGGAAGAGGAGGCAAAGAGGAACCTGGAGAAACAGATCTCTGCCCTTCAGCAGCAGGTACAGAACCTGCATCTCCTAGAACAAACCTTCCTGATTCCTAGGAAATCTAGTTCAGATGGAGAATGCTGGCGCAATCTGGATTTGTTAGCAAAGGAAACTATCCTGAGGAAGCAGGGACCTTGCAGGGCTCAGGCAACTGAAACTCCTGATAGAAATCTAAAAACATTTAGCATTGTATCAGAGAGAATCTTCCCTAGAAACACCTAACTATTTGAGGAGAAGGGGGACTCTTCAACCCACACACCTCGTAAGTCTGACTAACATGATCAGTTCAATTCTAAGGGAATAATTTCTCATCTCCCCCCGCCCACACTTAGGGTGACCAGATCACACAGGTGAAATACCGGGACGCGGGGGGGGCAGAGCAATAAAAAAAGGGGGGGAAAACGGCCGCCGGAGCTCCACGCCCCCCCCTCCCCCCGCACCAGCATGCCTCTGCTCAGTCTCCACCTCCCCCCTCCCTCCAGCGCTTGCGCCGCCATACAGCTGATCAGTGGAAGCCTGGGAGGGAGGGGGGAGGAGGAGGAATGTGGTGTGCTTGGGGAAGAGGCGGGGGTAGGACGGGGATCTGGGGAGGGATCCAATGAGGGAAGAAGGGGGCGGAGTCGGGGCAGGGGGGGTGTGAGCCCCCTGCGGGCTCCGCCCCACCTGTGAGCGGAGGCAAAATATCGGGACAATTCGCATCCCGACCGAAGGTAGGTCGGGACGCGGGACAAATAAGCAAATATCGGGACAGTCCCGATAAAATCGGGACGTCTGGTCACCCTACCCACACTAGAGGTCTCTGTGGTTTGGCTTAATCTCTGTTCTCTTCCCCCTCCCCAGGTAGCAGACACAAAGAAAAAAATGGATGATGGCCTGGGCTGCCTGGAGGCAGTGGAGGAAGCCAAGAAGAAGCTGCAGAAGGACTTGGAGGCCATGAGCCAGCGTTATGAGGAGAAGGCAGCTGCTTATGACAAGTTGGAAAAAACAAAGACCCGGCTGCAGCAAGAATTGGATGACCTCATTGTGGACCTTGATCACCAGCGGCAGATAGTCTCCAACCTGGAGAAGAAGCAGAAGAAGTTTGATCAGGTAGTGTCAGTCATGGGATATACAGTGGGGAGGATCTTCCTTCCCAATACTGCCTACCACAATGTAAACATCTGTTTAGGGAATGCATATTCCTTTCTGAACCATAATGGGGGTGGGGAGAAGGAAGCTGGCACTGGTGGAAATTCATGTTCCTTGCATGTGAATTCTAGTTTCACCTCTTGTCCAGGGGGACTGAAATGTTGAGCCTCATCTAACTTGTATAAGTGTTTGGGAGCAGACCCAGGCCGTGGGCAATTTGCAGCCGTCTCTTTGGACTTGCATATAAGTAGTGACTGTGACTATATAGAAGACTATAGTCAGTAGAGTTCTAGTCCCAGCCCTGCCAGTCAAGTTGGGAGCCATATGTTTGGCTCTCAAGAGCCATGTTCTCTGCATTACCCTTGCTGCCCAAATCCGAGACACTGTCTGGAATGGCACTTAGAGATCAGCCTAGCTCAGCAAACCTCAGAGCAGTCATTCTCTCTTCCTTCAGCTGTTGGCAGAGGAGAAGAACATCTCCGCCAAGTATGCAGAGGAGAGGGACCGAGCTGAGGCAGAAGCCCGCGAGAAGGAGACCAAAGCCCTGTCCATGGCCAGAGCCCTGGAAGAAGCCATGGAGCAGAAGGCAGAGCTGGAGCGGCTCAATAAGCAGTTCCGCACAGAGATGGAGGACCTGATGAGTTCCAAGGATGATGTTGGCAAGAGTGTAAGTATACTGTTAAAACATCTCCCTGTCAGTGTGTCACCTGCATCCCAGCCTGTTAAGCAGATTCATTGAGAAATTTGCAATGTAGGAGCATCTGTAAAGGAATGCAATTGTGAAAACTGAACACATGCAGTGGGCTTAGGAGTAGGAATAGATTGTTTTGTTTTTTATTGGGGTTGAATGAAAGGCAGGAAGGAGAGATGGGATTTGAAGAGCGTGATAAAGGCGCAAGCTGGGCATTGGCTAAGTGAAACCCACTAACCATTGTGGAGAGACACGAGAGGGTGTCAGATGAGCCTGGAATTTGAAATATAGGGAGCCAGCCAGAGATTGGGAGACTGACTCAAATCTGAAGATGCTAAAGATTAGTGATAAGGCAGGGGGAGGCTTGAAGGGGAGTTTGAAGCACTTCCACATCTTTGGCAACGTGACATGAGTGTTTCATGCCGCAGTGAGATCAGGACTGGCCTAACACATGCTTCCCCTTTAAATTTTCTCAGCATGCCTGATCAGAGGGAACAGGAAAATGCAATAGCTGAGGTCAAGGTTCAGATTAAAGGCTCTCAAGTATGCAAGCAACTTTCTTTAGCCTTAAGGCGGCATCATGGTGCTAGTACAAGGAAACTGAGGGTGATGCGGCAGGAAGGGCAGCAGGGTCTTTGCATCCTTTCCTCAGTGAGCTGCTGCCCTATTGATCTGGATGCCTCTCTGTTCTTGGGGTGGGTGAAGTTGGTGGCTGTGTTATTTGGGTGATCTGATGTGGGTGTGTGTTCATGCTACAGGTTCATGAGCTGGAGAAATCTAAGCGAGCCCTGGAACAGCAGGTGGAGGAGATGAAGACCCAGCTGGAAGAGCTAGAGGATGAGTTGCAGGCCACAGAGGATGCCAAGCTGCGGCTGGAAGTGAACCAGCAAGCCATGAAGGCACAGTTTGAGCGTGACCTCCAGGGCCGGGATGAGCAGAATGAGGAGAAGAAGAAACAACTGATCAGACAGGTCAGCATCACGCCACAAATCCTGGAAGTTGTCTACTCAAAGGGAAGTGCTTCTCTTCATCTGCCCTAGGACAGCTGGACACTGCCTTTCCAGATCTAGCCAGTGCCACTCCAGGAATTCCTATTATCATTGGGAGGCATTGCTAGCGCTACAAATCACTCGCTGGTGTGTGCCCCTCATGTACCATTGTCACAGCACTTGCACTGTCCATCAATCCAAGAAACCAGAATAGTGCTTTATTGCTGAGGGAACACTGTCTTAACTCTCTCTCCCTTGTTTCCTTCCATCCCCACCAGGAGAGGGGGTGAACTCTGATTATCTCTTTGTGGGAGATGAATGGTTCGTGCTGGCTTGTTTGGTTTCCACTAATGCCTTGTTTGTCCTACCAGGTACGAGAGATGGAGGTGGAGCTGGAAGATGAGAGGAAGCAGCGCTCCATGGCTGTGGCTGCCAGAAAGAAGTTGGAGATGGACCTGAAGGATCTGGAAGTCCAGATAGACTCTGCCAACAAGAATCGTGATGAAGCCATCAAACAGCTCCGCAAACTGCAGGTGAGGGATTTCAGTCCTGGGCCTGCTGCCTATGTGGGGGCATGGGGTGGAGACCTGGTTTTCCCTGTCAGAATCATGCATTTTCATCACCCGAGCGGTGTGGCACAGCATTAGAACCTTGATCTATGCAACAGTCCAGTTGGAAAGGTTCAGCAGCAATTCAGATGTCTCTGTAACCCCGGTTTGTGTCAATCCCTTAATTTATTCCCCTATTGGTGTTGCAAAACCTGAGCAAGCTTTCCTTACTTTGTACCACTGCTTGTGTAATGTAATGACCAGAATGAAGGATGTTCTCTGAACTCTGTTTTGTTACCTCTGCAGGCCCAACTGAAGGATTACATGCGGGAGCTGGATGATGCACGCACCTCCAGAGAAGAGATTTTGGTCCAGGCCAAAGAGAATGAGAAGAAGATGAAGAGCATGGAGGCTGAGATGATGCAAATGCAGGAGGTAATGGAGCCTGCATTCAGGCAGGAGGGGCCTATTCACTTACTTTAGCCAAGGAGTAGGCTGCTATGCGGCTCCCTAAGCCATCTCTGAGCACAGCACGCGCACACACACACTTCCTCCGCATAGTTGGCCCTTTCTTGCTAGTTGAATGAGAGTGACTCAAACACAGAGAGTCCATGTGGAAGTACAGAACACTAGTCCTCTTACTTCTTGGAATCCACCCACTACTAGTAGCTGTTTGTCCTCTGATCTGCATTAATTGCTAATTTCACATTGCATCACTGACAGTCTCATTTTCATTCCAGGAACTTGCAGCTGCTGAACGTGCCAAGCGCCAGGCCCAGCAAGAGAGGGATGAGTTGGCTGATGAGATAGCGAACAGCAGTGGCAAAGGGTGAGTAATAGCTCCCTTTGTTGGGGAGGAGAAGCTGGTTTGGGGAGGTGCCCTACATAAGCATATAATATACTCTAGCCTGTATTGTAATAGTCTGTTAGATGCTTACTGTTTTGTAAGGCTATAACTGGTAGGCTTTCTCTAGAACTGCTCTGCATCACCTCCATCCAGCACTTAATTCTTATTGTCATCGTTAGAGCCCTGGCCTTGGAGGAAAAGCGACGTCTAGAGGCCCGGATAGCTCAGCTGGAGGAGGAGTTAGAGGAGGAGCAGAGCAACACAGAGATGGTCAACGACCGGCTCAAGAAAGCAAACCTTCAGGTACCTGCTCAGGGTCTTCCCACCAGCTGGCTCTGTAAACTCCCAAACTGAGTTCTGGATGAACTTCCTCCTGTCTTCCAAACAGTACAGATTCACAAAGTGCTTTACACAGCAGTGTCTGTGCACTGCTGTAGATAAAATGGGATAGCCATTCAGTGCTCACTGATGGCTCATACTGACCCTGGAATGTTATAACCTCTTTGTAAGAGAAGAAAAGTAGCTGGGACTGTCCCCCAAACTCTTCAAGAGTTCTGTCCAGTCATCCTTTGTATTAAGGGGTGACTGTCCCCTATCAACATTAAATATTTTGCTTCTTATCCATCTCTGTATTGTATTGGAACAGTCCCACTCTATAGAAAATCACTTTTCACTGCATCCTCCAAAATGATTAACCTTACCAAGTGCATTAGTCCATTGTAGTGTCTTTAAATGAAGACCTTAATCTGAATGTTCTTGGCATATATTTGATAGTCCCTGCCCCAAAAAGCTTACAATCTTGTTCTGTTAGTACAATGCCTAGCATAACAAGGCCCTGGTCCATGATGAGGACTCATGGTTGCTACTGCAATACAAATGATATATATTGTCCACCTCATCTAGAGGGTTAAAATAACCTGCCTGATTGCAAAAGTGAGTGAGATTAGTAGTTTCACTAGAGGCAGAACTGCAGGTTCATTCCTAAATGGGAGCCGGGGGAGAGGCACACCAGTGAGAAGGGAGAACATGACTGGCCATAGGAGGAAGGGAGATTACAAGGGAGTGGATGCTAGGGCATGCTCAGAACCTAAAAAAGGAGGAGCAGCTGAGCTGCCCATTACACAGGTACTATGGGAAGAGGGCAGCCACCCTTACTAGCTGCTCAGCTTCCAGTACGTGTGTGTGGGGGGGGGAAATGAAGACTGGGGAGGGGAAAGGGTGGTACAGAAGCCAAATACTGGAGTTCTGTCTGGTTCTTGGCCCAGTAGCTAGTCAAAGCTGAATTTTGGTACATCTTTCATTTCAATGGACTGATGATGTAAAGCAGAGCTTCTGACCTTCAGAGGCAGTCCCCACTATGCCATGCAGTCAGCACTGACTATGTATCAGGCAGAGTCCTGGGCTGAAAGTGGCTTCAGTCCATTCCCTTGAAAAGAAAATCTCTCCAGGCTGCTCCTGGGTAGCTGAAATGTGAGGCTGTCCTAAGCATGTGACTGGCACATAATTTCTGGCAGATCTTTCTTATGGGGGCAGCTGGATGCTACATTGTAGGGCAGACTGTCACTGCCATACCGCATGGCCTATGGCTGAGTTTGGCTAGCAAAAACAGCCCCAGAGAAGGGGACCTAGCAAACTTAACTCTCAATCCGTTCAGCCCTGGGCGTTTCTTGAATGAAAACTTGAGCAAACCAAAACAGGCTTCTAGGAGAGTTTGTCCTTTTGTGACTATGGAAAGCATTATGCTACGTTATACAGCGTTAGTCAAGCTTGACTTGTACAACATAAGCTTTTCTGCTCACGCTGGAGGTCCTTCCTGACAAGTATCCATTGGCGAGTAGAAATAAATCAGTCTTCCAGCCCAGAGCCCTTCTGGTATGCTGAGTCTTTTCTCTCCCCAGATCGATCAAATAAATACTGACTTGAATGCCGAGCGCAGCAATGCCCAGAAGAACGAAAATGCTCGCCAGCAGATGGAGCGTCAGAACAAGGAGCTTAAGGCCAAGCTGCAGGAGATGGAAAGTGCAGTGAAGTCCAAGTACAAGGCTTCTATCACTGCCTTGGAGGCAAAGATAGCACAGCTGGAAGAGCAGCTGGACTCAGAGACCAAGTATGTTCTAGCAGAACCGCCTGTCATGTTAAAAGCCACCGGCCCCTCTGATGTACTAGCACAGAGCAAAACCCTACTCTTGAGTGCTGTATGCCAGCCTCTTGGAATGAGTGCTCCATCTGGTTATCAGGAAAGAGTAGCTCCCCTGACCTCCCCCATTCTCGCAGCGAAGGCCACTAATTCCTAGCCTACCAAGCTTTGCCATTCCAGGAACTGTAGCTCTAATTCAGTGACCCCTTAGTGTCCCCCTCAAACTCTGGCAAAGAGGTCAGACTGACCCTTTGCTTTGCCAACTCCCTGAGTGGAGTTCTTGTCTCCTTTCATTCCCCTGAGGTGTAATGACTAGTGCAATCTTGTTCCTAACCCACATACATGAGTACTTTCTGTCAGGGATGGTGCCCATAGGGTCACCGGAGATAATCTGCTGCCTGAGCTGACACTGTATTTCTGCACAGGGAGCGCCAGGCTGCAGGCAAACAGGTGCGCCGTGCTGAGAAGAAGCTGAAGGATGTCTTGCTGCAGGTGGATGATGAGAGACGCAATACTGAGCAGTACAAAGATCAGGTGTGTGCAAATGACACAGCGTAGCAGTCTGTAGTTTGGCTTGTGGCTGGTGGACTTCTCCCACGTAAAGCCACATCTGCTTCATCAGTTACAGAATGGTGGCATTATTTTCTCTGTAACACTGAGGATATGGCTGCCCATGGTCTTAGCTCTGTTCCATTTAATGGCTGGTACAGCTGAAAGGGTGATGCTTTAAGAACAGCTTCTCCCCTTCAGTAACTTATGCTGCACAGATGAACTGTAGAAGTTGGAACAATGTTCTGGTACTGAGTCAGCTCAGCCTGGCATCTAAAAATCCAAATTCTGTTCCTCTGCTTCAGATCCTGGAGGCAGATTCCTGTGTGGTCTCCTCTGTGTGGTGGAAGGAGAGTGGTGGCATGTAGTGCAGGCTGTTGGCCTTCCGAGTGAGCCCAAGCTGAAACATTTGACCCTGTTGTATGAAAGAGGCAGCTTGTACAGCGCTTCCTGCACTAACAAGCTGAAACAAAAGGAGAAGCAGAAGGAAAAGCTTAAAACTAAAATAAATCCAAGTCTAGGCAACTAACCTCAGGGAGCAAAGAGTAAGAGTAGGTGCCATTAGGGACTCAGCTTCCTTCTGGTGTAACTCCCTGCTGCAGTGCTGGAGCCCCCACGAAGGGCTAGGAGTGGGCTTTCTGAAAGGCTGACTTCTCCGTTCTGCTCTGCAGGTAGATAAGGCGAACGTGCGCCTGAAGCAGCTGAAGCGCCAGCTTGAGGAAGCCGAGGAAGAGGCCCAGCGAGCCAATGCGTCCCGCAGAAAGCTGCAGCGTGAGCTGGAGGATGTCACTGAAACGGCTGATGCAATGAATAGAGAGGTCAGCTCCCTCAAGAGCAAACTCAGGTAAGGGCAATCAATCATGCGTGAGAAATCGGCTCCCACCCCAGCAAGCTTCTGTCCTAGCCAAAAGCAGAGACTTCAGTGACCAGATGTGCATCTTCTCCAAGGAAGCAGTGTGGCCAGGTCCTTCTTTGCCCTCCCTCCCCCAGAGCATAATGTCTGACAGACGGTAAATGAATTCTGTTGCCTTGATTTGCTATTCATCCCTCTCTAGGCGTGGGGACCTGCCATTTGTCGTGCCACGCCGGATCGCCAGAAAGGGCACAGGAGAATGCTCCGATGAGGAAGCAGACAGCAAGGCAGATGCTGGTGATGCCAAAGCTACTGAATAAGTCTTCTCATCTGACCCAGGTTACACCTGACGGAGTGACCTACCCACCCCTCCTCCAGTGGTCTTCCTGCAAACCACCTCCTGGGGAACACAGAGCCCATCCAATGTGTGTTTTGTGTATCTGGAGCCATTGGGCACCTGTGTTCCACATTTCCTCCTCTTCCCAGCTTCCAAGTTCTCTTTGTATTTAATGCCAAAGAGTTGGGATTCTAAAATCTGACCAGCAGAGTTCGATGACTACACACACCTGTAGAACTGTCCGTGCCGTGGCTGCTGGTGAATCTTTACACTTGGAAGGAGAGGGGTTAGGGAAAAAAAATTATTTTATTTTTTTTTGCTGTAAATCTACTTTCTTCAGATCCTAGTTTGATAGATGCAAAGAAAGCCCGCTCCTCTATTCTCTTCCCCCCCTCCCCCGTTTGCTTTTTGGCAATCATGTTCAGTGACCTCAGACTTCTGCCTCTTTAATCTGCCCACCCAGATGGTTTGGAAGCAGTTTCAGGAATAACGGGGTGCTTTGGCCATGGCAATTCACCCTTTCTTCTTTCTAGAGCCCACACATTCACAGGCAGGGGTGAAGGAGGGAAGCATCTTTCAGGATCACCCACCTGGGGGACTTGCCAAAGACTTTTTCTTTCTTGTTCTTACTGTCTGGCCAGATCTCGGAAGTGCAATGATGTCCTGGTAGTGTCTCTGCTTCTGTCTGCTTGGCTTTTTAGCTAAGGTAGTGTGGACCAGTAGCTGGTGACAGGGACAGAGAAACCAGAAGAATCTCTGTGTGCTTGTCTGAGAATCTCTTGAGGACCAAATATATTGAATGGTAATGGACCGAATCTAGTGGAATTTAATGTGTGTCGGTGGGAGGGGTGAGGAAGGGAGGAGAAATCCCTCTTTTTATTGACATGTCCAAGCCTCTTGTGTATCTGCTCTGTAACCAGGGGATGGGGTTAGTTATTCTGCACCATTGACTAAGAGTATATTAAAAACCCTTTAATCTGCACAGATATACGTAAAGGGCCTTTGTGTCTCTTGTAATAAGTAATTAAAAAAATAAAATAAAGGTCTTTATCACTGCCTTTCTATTGGGACCTTGGTTATATAGAGATAGTCTTTACTTTTCTACATCGTACACTGGTTGCTGGATTTACCTGTATTCTTAACCATATTGTATATGCTGCATTTAGACTTACTTATGAGCAAAGAAAAATAATTAAAAATATGAAGCTCCAATACTGTATGCCTGAAAGCGCTCTAAATTCAGGCACCTGTGTCCCAATCGCTGTCACAAAGGATTTAAAACCTTTTTTATATAAAAGTGCCTTAGCATATGCCTCAGCTGTCACCACTACAGTCAGTAATGGTTTACTGGTGCTCCACTGATGTTACCAATAAAGATTATCCATGTGCTGCAATCCGTGTGCTTGTGTTGCTGTTCCACCTTTCCTGAACGCAGTGGAGGAAGCCTGTGGAGCTGCCAAAGGGAAGCAGTCATATGGAATCAAATTGTCGGTCTATCCTGTCAGTATTGCCTCATGAGCACGTAGGCACCAGGTGACACTTCTTAGCCCAACTTCCTATCAAATATGAACTAGCATTACAGTACCCCAAGAGACTTCTGGTCTGGGAGCCTTTCTCCAGAGTGGCCAGAGAAATACATAACACCTTACCTATGCAAGACTAGATCCAGGTGGAGAAGGTGTAAAATTCTATCTGACCCAGCTGGCTCTGTTCATGGCCTGCAGAATGAGAATGTAATTGCTCTAATTGTAGAAATGCTATGTCTAAGCTTAGACATAATGCATGTCTGTTACCTACCTCCCCGCTTCTCCCACAGGGTTGTGGGGTGATAGGAAGGTCAATTCAGCAGAGGAGTAATGGAGAGGGCTAGAATAACCTTTCTAGTGTGGTGAGTGTGCTCTGTAGAGTCCCCACTTTCTCTTCCCTTCCCAAAGAACCTAGTCCTTCCAGCACTTCCAAAGGAGATACCCCTTTCCCAGGGTAGGGCTCCAGCACTCGTGGCCATCATTTTTCTCCGCCCACGCCCTCCTGGCTGTTCAGATACCAATGGATGGATGTGATACGAGAATCTGGAGGATGGGGTCAGTGTCTGTGCTACAACGCAGTGCCTTCTCCTTTGGGGTTGCATTGAAGGTTGAATATTTCTGCAGGTTGAGGGGTCTTTACTGATGGACATGGCACATCCAGGTGTGCAAAGGGAAAAACTACCCTACAGCGTGGCACAAGGACAGAAAATAACATCAAAGACGACCGGTCTCCATCCAGTTAGGTTAGGTACTAGGTATGCATGATGTCTGGAGGAGTTACTCTAAAGTCATTGTTAGTACAAGTGGCACTTCAGAATTCTGATCGTCCTAACCACTGCTGTGTTGTCCTACAAAATGCCAAAGGATCCAGCCTAGATAAAAAGGAAACCTACGGTTCGATGCTGCACTTAAGAGGTGGGCTTACACCCTGAAGTGTACAGTGGCGGCTGCAAAATCCAGGGGAAGTGCCTTATGTTAACCAGCAGATGGCGTTTAGAAATTGTCAGCTGCTGCTGCAAAGGGGGGGAAGTGAGTGACCACAGTGTGGTTAGGACAAAGAGGAGGGAGGAAGCAGCTGTCACTCAGTGGAGCGCAGAAGACTAGAGCCCAAGGGCAGGAGTGGGGATTCTTGTCGACACAAGTGCTGAAAAGGAGGGGGTTGATCCTCCTGGAAAGAACAGAGGCAACCAGTGGAAGAGGCGATAGGTCCGAAAGCAACACATCTGCCACTACAGAAGTGGGCCCAATCCCACAAATCAATACTGCTTGTAAACTCGTTTCTATACTGTTTAATGGGGGTTGCAAACTTTCTTAAACTTCAAAGCAAAACATGTAATGCTTGCATTTTGGATGAGAAGTTCCTTTGTATGTGAAAACCAGTTAAAAGCATCCTTCACGCTTGCGTTACTGGAGCCTTGTATGAGAAAAGACAAGTCACGGGGGAGACCACTCTTTAGCAATGTGTCTACTGCCCCTGCATTGCTCAACCACATGGCTGATCAGATTTTACAAATACAATGAATACTTACTAAGTATGAGCAGGAATTCCCCATGAGAGCACCTAGAGCAAACAGGGCACAACAGTGCTAACGTTATAGGAAATACAAGCTTTGCAGCATGTGAAACACTTGCTGTTTTGCTAATGTCTCATGGGCATTCTGTTAAAACCAAGACTTCACTCACTTTGCATAATACAATCAGGGAATTTACTGGTTCAAATAAATATGTAGCTATGGCCTTCACCAAATTTAAGCTGCTCACTGCAAAACAAGATGTTCAGACCTGTGTAAAGCACATGCCCTCAAAATGTGTCTTTGAAATACACATTCAGATGTGGGGCTCCTCTTAGGGTTGGTCCAGTATTCTTTAAACCGAGAAGTCTCTACTGTCAAGAAAATACCTCTCACAATTGCATCAGTTTAATAGATTAACCCAGGGATCGGTAACCTTTGGCACGCGGCCCTCCAGGGTAAGGCCCCTGGCGGGCCGGGCCGCTTTGTTTACCTGCCGCATCCACAGGTTCGGCCGATCGCGGCTCCCACTGGCCGCGGTTCGCCACTCCAGGCCAATGGGGGCTGTGGGAAGCAGCACGGGCTGAGGGATGTGCTGGCCGCCACTTCTCTCAGCCCCCATTGGCCTGCAGTGGTGAACCGCAGCCAGCGGGAGCCACGATCGGCCAAACCTGCGGATGCGGCAGGTAAACAAACCAGCCCGGCCCGCCGGGGCCTTACCCGGCGAGCCGTGTGCCAAAGGTTGCCGATCCCTGGATTAACCAGATTCACTGTCCTACTCAGGTAATTGCTAGGACCTGCTCCAGAATTCTCCCACGATTGAGCAGGTAGATGTTCTGAATCGAAGGGTCTGGGCCCATCTCATAGTTGTGTGGCCAGAATGGCTATAGCTGAATTAAACTCTCTCCACTTATTCAAACACATGGAGAAATTTCCATTTTCCTGCCGTATCAATGTTTGAACTGGGAAGAACCAGGGCAGCAGCCAGCTCTACTCAAGGAAAGCTGATGCTGTGGGATAGTCCTTAGACAACTGTAATGAGTTAGTAAAGGGATTTAGATGAGGAATTTGAACAACCCCCATCTTCCTCCTCTTCTCCCCCACCCCATTGATTCAAAAGGCGATATTGCTTTGGAACATACGAAATTACAAATGGTTCCCCTTTGCCTAAACTATAGATATAGATGAAGTGACTCTAGTCTGTCTGAGTGACACACATCTTCTGGCTGCCATGTATAAGGGGGAGGGGGAAGGAGAATGGGTGATATTTGACTGAAAACCTCAACACAAGATACTACATGTCTGAGGAGAGGTGAGGGCTGAGCCAAAGCTGGGTCTTAGGGTGACCAGATGTCCTGATTTTATAGGGACAATCCCAATTTTTGGGTCTTTTTCTTATATAGGCTCCTATTACCCCCACCCCATCCCAATTTTTCGCACTTGCTGTCTGGTCACCCTACGGGGTCTTGACGTGAGCTGTGAAGCAGAGCTCCGGGTTGGACTCAAACACGCTGCTGCTTAGCTCGAGTTCTGTAAGTGACATAGCCGGGGCAAGTTAGAATTGATACGCTGTTTGCTTTTGCCAGCTAACAGTGCTGTCCAGGCATCTACTTTCTCTCCAGCAGGCTCACTGTACATACCACTGGGTTTTCCCTTCCCTCTGTGGTTGTCCAACCCTGCCTCCCTCTTGAACCCAACCCAGTTCAATTTGTCTCCTAGCCACAGTAATAGCTGTGTTCCACACATCCTCCTCTCCCTGAGCTATGTTTGTTTTGTAGGTGTGGCCAGGGGCACCCCCAATCAGGATTGGGGCCTGTTGGGATAGGTGCTGTACAGCATGGTTGACAAACCATAGGGGATCAGCTGAAAGTGCTGAATGATACTTGTTCTAGAGGCAAATTTCTGGGCTCTCCTCAGATTAAAGGGAGTTTGCTCTATGGTGGGCAGCAGCTGCTCTTCCCTCATCTCCAGCACAGGATGAAAACTGAGAGTCTCGCATGCAGCTCCTTGCAGCTTTGCTAGACAGAGGAATAAGGCAACTTTTTCCCTCAAGAGCAGTCTCTCTGCGCTCCAGCTTCCAGCCTCTCACTTATTGCACTTCGGTATGGAGCCTTGCTGGGGTCAAGCTCTGGCCCTGCTTCAGCTTTGCTTATGCTACTGCTAGAGCTACCAGCTAGAAATGGGTGGAGGTACCAGTGGCCCAGAGGGGAACCCTTGGCTGCAGCTTTGCAAACAGCACCCCAACTTCTGAGCAGCGGGAGGGCCAAACAGCTTTATTGACTCTAGCTCTGGTAGGGCCACAGCATCAGAGATACCAACGAGGCTGTACCCTACAGGCCCTGGACCAACACCGCAGCCCCTTATGGAAGCTTAATGGGCCCTTTCCTGCCTCTGTGGCCTTTATCTCAGCAGCTGCATGAGCCACCTCCACTAGCCACCAGTGCTGCTTAGCAGCTGGGAGTAAATTCTCTCTGCAGCATGCATTGCAGCAGCGTGTGATCCTTTTTCTCAGCTCCTCTAGCCACCACCCTCTCTCCTCATTGGGGAGCCGCTCAGAAACTATGCTTGAGTGAGGCTGCCCTAGCAAACGGGCTGAAGCCCAGGTGAGGCTCTCACGCTAGGAGTCCAAGGTGGCTCAGAAGTGGGGCTTGTCCTGCCCAGTTCCACAAGGAATGCTATTGTTCTCATAAGCAACTGCAGTAGGCTTTGAAGCAGACCAGCCAAAAAGAGTGTAAACACGTGAAACCAATTAGCTGGGTGGGGTTTGGATCCTTTCTGCTAAGGCTGTAAGTGTACGCTATGCTGCTCGCAACAAGCGGGCAGCACCTTTTCAGAAGCACTGTGCACCCTGCTGTAGAAAAAGTCTGTTTCCCTGTGTGTAAGGGACGTGATTGGCCATTTAACCACGTTGTACTTGGAAGAGTAGCTCACTGTTTCTCCTGTAGCTGGTCTCTGATCTGGGGAATTTCTGGGGACCTGATTAAAGCAGGGGTTCTCAAACGGGGGGTCAGGACCCCTAAGCGGGGCATGAGGTTATTATGTGGGTGGTCGTGAGCTGTCAGCCTCCACCCCAAACCCCGCTTTGCCTCCAGCATTTATAATGGTGTTAAATATATTAAAAAGTGTTTTTAATTTATAAGGGGGGGGGGTCACACTCAGGCTTGCTGTGTGAACTATATTTACTTATATTGTCATTTCTTTGGGACTGTCTTTTTGGTCTGTGTTTCTATGGCACCTGGCACAATGGGGTCCTAGTCTGGGATTGGGCTTCTAGCGTTATGGTCGTACAAATAAATAACAATCGTATATTTGATCTCTGACCCTAAAATCTTGCAATGGGAAACTCC